GTGTGTGTGTGTGTGTGTGTGTGTGTGTGTGTGTGTGTGTGTGTGTGTTTTCTTTTTGCTGCTTAGCTTAACTAATGTAAGAATGCAAATATAGTTTGCATGAACAAACAGACTTTTAAAGTGATGCTTTCTGCTTCTGAGAATCACCAAAATGAAAAAATAAAATCCATTTGGCTGCAACGGAAATATGCTGGTCCCGGCAGCCTCTCCTCTGGTTTTTGTATCCTGTTGGTTTTGTCCTAAGTTGCATTGACTGATGTGGAACATGCAGTAACCACCTGCCCAAGCATTAGAAAATTGGTGAGTCCAGGGAGCAGGGTCCTTGGCCCTTGGCAGGTCACTGCTCAAGATGCAACCGTGTTACATGGTAAGCAGACTACGTTTGGTATAGATCTTCAGGTTAAAGTGTCTCCACAGCTGTTCTGCATTGATAATATTCAGGAAGTTTGTAAACAATCTTTCACTTGCAAGTTTTACATCTGTACAATATTTAATTTTTGCTTTCCTCTAACACTTGGATTCTCTGACCTCCTTTTGTCTTTTGGCCCTTTCCCTTCTTCCTTCCTCTGCCCGTTGCTGTTTCTCCTTCTCAGGTTTAGTTACACTGTCATAGGACGGGAGGGAGGCTGTAGACGGGGTGCTCTCTCTTTTCTCCCTGTGCGTGCCTCCATTCTCCAGCTTATTGGAAGTGGTCTTTTTGCAAATGAAGCCCCGCCTTGCTAGATGTCCCCGGTAGGCGCGCTGCAGGACCACTGCCGACACCTCCTCCTGCTTGCGCCGCAGGGTGGTCGTGATTGGCTCGTAAGACACTTTGGAAGGATTGGACGCCACGAACCGCTCCTCCATCTGCTGCCGGAGGATGTCTAACTCCCCGCTATCTCCCAGCACCCGCTTGGTGAAGGCAAAAAGGATGTCCAAGCAGTGGATGCGGTCTCCGCTGACCATGGGCAGGTCCATGGCAATGAGCTCGATGGTGTTGGGCTTGGGCACTCGGAGAGGGTGCTCCAAGGCATCCGCAAAGTCTGCCAGCTTACAGTACTCGATGAACTGGGTGGCATCGGGGTCAAACTTCTCCCAGATCTCATAGAAGGTCTCAAAGTCATCCTCGCTCAGAGGGTCGGCACTTTCCTCCGTGGCTACACTGAAGTTCTCCAAGATGATGGCGATGTACATGTTCACAACGATTAGGAAGGAGATGATGATGTAGCTTACAAAGAAGAAGATGCCCACTGAGGGGTTCCCGCAGTCTCCCTTGAAGCCACTCCCTGGGTGTTCCTTATCCAGACTGCAGTCAGGGGGGCGGTTTAGGATGGGCAGCAGCAGGCCATCCCAACCAGCCGAGGTTGTGATCTGAAACAGGCAGATCATGCTGTTGCCAAAGGTCTCAAAGTTGAACATGTCATCAATGCCAGCCTCGTGCTTCACATAGGCGAAATTGGACATCCCAAAGATGGAGAAGATGAACATGACCAGGAAGAGCAGAAGGCCAATGTTGAACAGAGCAGGCAAGGACATCATTAAGGCAAAGAGCAGGGTACGAATCCCTTTGGCACCTTTGATCAGACGCAAGATGCGCCCAATACGGGCCAATCGGATGACTCGGAATAGGGTTGGGGAAACAAAGTATTTCTCAATTATATCAGCCAGGAACATTCCTAAGAAGAGGACAGAAGAAGAAATGTTACTGAGATTGGAGACCCCTTTCTCTTAGGTCACCTGGCACCGGAGCCCTTAAGTTCAAAGGGCTTCATAGAATGAGCGCCTTACCATTCAATCTGAACTCTCCTGATGAAAAGAGAAAATCACATGTTTCAAACATATGGAAAAGCAGATAAAACAATAACATAGACATTTATGCACTTCACATCCAGATTTAACAGATGCAAGTATTCTACCAAATTTGCTTCCTCTCTTCAACCACAATCCTGGAGGTGGTGTAGTATTATTCCAGTTTCTTCACAATTTCACTATGGATGAATCCATAGCTATCACAGATAGATAGATAGCATCCTAGCATCCTACTACGTTGAAAGAATTATACTGTATCTTTTTAGAACAAGTTTTTTAGATCTCTAACTTAATTTTGAGACTTTGCATTATGTTTGTGAGATTGATCTCTGGTGTTAAAATAATTCTGGATTATTCATTTTCATGGTTGAACAGTATTCCATTTCATGAACAGGTCCTCATTTATCTGTTTTCCCACTCAAGAATGATTAGTTTTTCACCGTTTGGCGCATGTGTGACTTGCCGAGGTGTTACTGATTCCTTTCCGAAATGCTAGCAAATTTCCATATCCACACACAGTGAATGAGAGGGCCCGGTGCCACCCAGGAGTTCACGCCCCTGGGCTGTGGTGTCTTAGTTATTCCGCTATGCCGCTAATTTCCAAAGTATCTTCTTCCTGGCTCTGAAAAGACATTTTTGGTTTCTTATTGTGCCATGTCCCTACCCTGCCAAAGTAGCCGAGAAAACCAGAGGGATCTCTCAGGAGTGGCTTTTAACTCAGAGCTTCTAGATTTTGTGTTTAAATCCATAAATCAGAAACAGCATCAGCAGAGAAAAACGTCAAGGCGTAAGTAGGATATAAAAGTAGAGGGTGACCATGTAAATCCACAGGACTTTTTCTGTTTACATTTATCTGGGGGTCCACCTCAGCCAGCCCACTTGCCTTGAACGCTGCAGAGCAACCATGGGAGTCCAGTGAAGGGCCACAGAAGGAAGACAACACGCAAAGGTTGGGCCGTGGCAGCTGAGGGGAAGGCAAAGACACGCCCTCTGCATCAGTGCCTTCTTCTGCTGTCGAGGCCCTGATGAGACAACAGGCGCTTCCACTGACAGGAGGGATTTACTTTGAATAAGGAAATATCTTTCAACCGAAGGATTCACAGATACTGGGACAGTGAACTGCAGGAGGCTGTGCAATCTCCTTATTTGAGATTTATTTTCCCTTTTCTTAAAGAGATTTATTTATTTTTTTGAGAGAGAGAGAATCTCAAGCAGACTCCCTGCTGAGCACAGACCCTCATGCAGGGCTTGACGCGGGGCTCGATCCCACGACCCCAGAGATCATGACCTGAGTGGAGATCAAGAGTTGGATGCTTGACCAACTGAGATACTCAGGCACCCCACTGAGCTCTTTAAGCTAGGATAAAATTTTTTTTGTTTGTTTGTTTTGTTTCCCTCCTCTAAGACTCAAAGAGGTGTCTAACTGGAGACATATCAGAGTAACAGCAACCATTTTGGGCTTACACTCCCCCATCCATTCCTTCATAAAGCTGTCTTTGTGATCAGTCAAGCTCATTATGCGTGACTCTTTATCAACATAGGACAAAAATCTTAACTTTCAGAAAGGGATGAGATGCAGTAAGTTCAGAGAGTAGGCTGGACAGCCTCTTGGAGCATCTTCTGGAGCTAGAATTCCATAGAGTATTTGAAGTTTCAAAAAAAAAAAAAACAAAAATGTCTACCTTAGCCAGGACCCAAGATGAATTCTCAGCTCTCTTCTTCTTACATCTCAATTAAGTCATAACCAGTGACCATAAGAAGTAAGGTAGTATCTGGAATACTGCATTCCATGTCTGGTGGGCAAGTAAGGCTTCAGAGAGAAGGTGCCAGAGTAAGGTTTTGTTTGATGAACATGTATTTGTTCCCAGAGAAAAGGGGAGAAAGATGGGTAGACAGCACTCCAGGGAGCAGGAACACCATTTAAAGGGTCCTCTAGGAGGTCCCAGAGCTAATTACCCTAACTCCTCTTAATTTAAAAAGATAATTTCTTGGGACGCCTGGATGGCTCAGTCGGTTAGGCGTCTGCCTTCAGCTCAGGTCATGATCCCAGGGTCTTGGGATCAAGTCTTGCATCGGGCTCCTTGCTCAGTGGGGAGCCTGCTTCTCCCTCTACCTGTTGCTCCCCCTGCTTGTGCTCTCTCTCTCTCTTTCTCTCTCTGACAAATAAATAAAATCTTAAAAAAATAAAAAGATAATTTCTATACTTTTGTTTCTGAACAAATGAATGATATTTAATAAAAATCCTAATCACCAAAAGTAAAATTATTCTTTCTCTGTATTTTTGAGTACCATCTGAGAATAGGGGGCATGGTGGGGCGCCTGGGTGGCTCAGTCATTAAACGTCTGCCTTCGGCTCAGGTCATGATCCCAGGGTCCTGGGATCGAGTCCCACATCGGGCTCCCTGCTCAGCGGGAAGCCTGCTTCTCCCTCTCCCACTTCCCCTGCTTGTGTTCCTGCTCTCGCTGTCTCTCTCTGTCCAATAAATAAATAAAATCTTTAAAAAAAAATAAAAATAAAAAAAAAAGAGAGAGAATAGAGGGCATGGTTTGGTTTGTGGGTTTTCCAGCCCACTCAATGATAGGTGGGCAGAAAACATTCAAGAACAGTGGACAAGGCAACACTGTCCAAAGTGTGTTTTGTGGGAGGTTAGGAGTATGGATTTGAGTCCCAGGGCTGGGCTTGAACCCCTGCTCACTTGCTCACCAGCCTCATGTCTTGGTCACTGCTCTGTGCCTCAGTTCCTTGTGATACTTAAATGGTCGTTGTGAGGACTGTAGGAATTATAACTAGAGTAAAGCACTTAGAATGGTGACTGGCGCACAGTATGTTTCAGTAAAACATGAGATACCATTCTTATTACTTGAAAAAAGGGTGTTGTGATCAAAATAAAGGTAGCATGGTGAGTTCAACCATTCTTTACTGTAGGACTTTCAAGAACTTTCTATAGGCTAATGTGCTCTGCGACTCTCCACAGGGAAACTCCATGTACAGTGTTGCCCAAAGGAATTTTCTTGGGGGGAGATATATGCGATCAGTGCTCAATATATCAACACACTTACGGATGTGCTGCTCCCGCGGACAGAACTGGAAAACCAGAAACTAACCCTGACCAAGGGGAGGGCCAGCTGCCTTCGGTCACCTCCAGTCACCACCTTGCTCAGCCAGCCTGGCCACTGGCTCCGGGGCTGGTTCCCGCGGGCCTTGGGCACTCTCCCTCTGCCAGCCTACGTCAGTTAAACCTACCTGGAACCAAGCCAGTGTCTCATTATTTGAGATGCCTTTTAGGAAGGCAAGGAAACGTTCTGGGAGGCCGATTGATAGGCCAGCATTTCCTCTGCCTCCCATGCCGTTTGGTTGAAGCAAAATGTCACACGGTTGCCGTTAAGATCCAACCTGAGTTCTGCCTCTGCCACCTCCTAGGTGGGTGATCTTGGACATACAGAAGATTAAAAAAGAGCTGCTTCCCGGGCTGTCATAAGGATCCAGTTGAGATCATGCCAGTGAAGAACTATGCCTGGCACACAGTAAAACCTCAGTAAAACGAGCCCTGGCGGTCCCCACCAGAATGTTCTCAGACCATTTTCATTATCATCCAACCTAGCAACCTCCTACCACTCCTTTTTCCACATTATACTGCTACCGCAGCCATAATTGTTTTTACCTTCCCTGTTAACTTTAAACTCCTTGAAAAAAAAAGAGTCAAATCTCTATCATTTCCCCCTCTTCAACCAGGGAATTTATCATCCAAGACGACTATGAACACTCAGGAGAAATCACTGACCACGTGACCTACTGCACGGGCCCCCAAGATGACTTAGAGATGCACGCGGGCTTTGGCCATGAGAGTCCCGGGCCTGCACTTGACACCCGTGAAGTGGCCGCTGTCCCAGAAGTCCCATGCTCAAGGCCAGTCAGGTGCCCTGCATCTCCCCCCCGCTCGCCCCACTTACCCACAATGGAGAGGATGACTACCACGAAGTCAAAGATGTTCCAGCCAATGGTGAAGTAGTAGTGCCTCAAGGCAAACATTTTGAGCACACACTCACAGGTGAAAAAGATGACGAAGACCAGGTTAATCCAGTAGAGAATGTTTTCCATCTGCTTGCTCTGCGTATCTGTCTCCACCATCATTGTCACCATGTTAAGGCAGATGAGCATCATGATAACGATATCAAAGGCTTGTTGAGTGACAAAATCAAAGATGATACCTTGGATTTTGTTCTGGGGGGTGGGTGGGAAGGGGAGGAAAGACACAAGAGCATTCATGAGAGCCTCTCCGAGCGGACCGTGGAAGTTGCCATCACCTTTCTTTTCTGTAACCCTGGCCAGCCCCCTATGCTGCTGCTCTGGCAGAATGTCAGGAGCATGGGCAGACCCCGACTTCAGTGTCACCTCCCCAGGTTTTCTAACACGGCCACGCTTCTGTGTCTATGCCATCACATGCTTCTGGAGGTCTTCCTGGCTCGCCAGCTGCTCCGGTTCAGCCTCGTGTGCTGGCCATGTCCACCTTGCCCTCACCTCTTCTCTCTGCACTGTCTCCCCCGGAGAGCTCATCTATTCCTACTGCATACACAGTATCTATGTACTTAGGTTTCTCAAGTTCCTTCCTCTGAATTCCCGTGTTGCTTTCTCAACATCTCTCCTTGTTGACCCATAAACATCTCAAACCTAACAAGTCCCCCCCTGCCTTTCACCCAACGCGCTCTCCTCCCATCTCAATAGTCCACCCAGTCCCCAAGCCAGAAACCTGAGGGTCACCCTCGTCGCCTTCCTCTCCCTTGTCCGCCACATGCCCAGCCGGTCCCACTGATTCTTCTGAATTCACCCACTTTATCCCACTTCTGTTGGCCCTACTCTAGCCCAAGCACTGCCAGCTTCTATCTGGACTTCTGGAAGAGTCTCCTAACTAATGTCCCTGCTTCCTCTCTTCCCCACATCCAGTGTAGTCTCCACAGAGTAGCAAGTGTGATTATTTAAAAACATAAATGGGTCACATCCCACTCCTACTTAAAACCTTTCAACAGTTTCTCATTGGGCTTGCAACAAAATTCTTCTTGCTAGCCTGATTTAGAGATGCCTCGCATGGTCTAATCCAGCTCATCTCATGCTCCTTCCTCTAGCCCGCCACCACCGGCAACACTGATGCTTTCTGCTTTTACAACCTCATTTGCTTTTCTAGGATCTTCTCCCCCAGAACTCTGGCTCCTTCTCATCTACCCAAGTAGACCCTCCCTAGTGAGGCTTCCTCTAACTACTCTATTGAAGTCGATCCCCTGCCCCAAGCCTCCCTATTCTCTGTCAGGCTCTCTCTAGTTGTTTTTTCTCACAACGCTCCACATTATATAGTGGCGGTTTGCTTATTTTATTATCTCTATCCCCCCTGTATCATAAGTACCTCATAATTCAGACACAACAGTGGGTCTAGTAGGAGATCTATAACTATTTGCTGAATGAGTGCTGATCACTCTTTATTAATGTCTCCTGCCACATTAAGTTTCCGTATTTTAGAGTAGAAGAAAATACATTCAGGTTCCTGCATGCAAAGGACTGAACAGAACTTCAGAAATGTTAACCCTCTCCATTCTCCTTAGTCTCGTTTCCATCACAAAATGGAAGCTCTAAACTCAAGGAAATACCAAAAATGTTCTCTTTCTTAAGATCGCTCTGATTTTTTTTTTTTTAAAGAATCTAGGCGCTCAAGTTGGTGCTTATTTTGAGGATCACTTTCACTTGCTGGTTTTCCAACTGTTCTGCGGGGCCTGAGGGCTTCCTCTCAGAAGTTGGTGAGGCGGGTATGCCAGGCCCAGGGGGTAGCACTAAGTAGGGAAAAACCCATTCTTGGTTCAAAGTAGCTCTATTTTTTTATTTTTACAAATTAGACTGCCAGGTGAGTGTTTAAGAGTTATGCTGTTTTTAAATAAAAAGTTACTTTAAATGAAAGTTAGAGAAGATGGAACTTTGAGCCTGGGGGTTATGTCCCACTCCTCTGGGTATATGGCTTTGGGAGCAGAGCATCTCCTCTGAAGCTAGAGGGCAAGCACCAACAGGAGGGCAAAGCAAAATCCCAGTGCTCAAATCTGTTTTACAAAAGGCTCCGCTCAAGACAGAAAATCAGGACATCAGACTTCTAGTTTTACCCTCTTCTGCTCCCACAGATATCTTGCAAAGACTTGCTTGCTGGGTAGAGAGCTGAGAAGACAGTGGCCACATCCTATCTTGCACTGGTAGGAAAGAGACCAGCTTTCATTTTTACTTTCCTTTGTTAATTTTTTAGTGGTCTCTTAAAACATCTTTCTACCAGTGCCAGAGCCAATGTGGTTATAACAGGCTGATTCTCTGCTGCTGCCCAAGGAAGTCTCAGAGGAAAGGTCAAGCACAAATATAAAAGCCATCCCATACCTCAGTCCCTGTTCTGCTGTCTTCCCCAGAGCCTCTGAATGGGGCAGCTGGGAGAGGATCAGAGGGCACAGGCAGCCGATCACTTACTTTTCTTTCCTTGGCAATAACCCTACCAGTGTCTTTACCATATGGGGTCTCACTCTGCCCTCAGCCTGCACTCACCAGGGGGCGGGGAATGGGTTTCTGTGGTTTCTTTGAGCCCAGCTTTTTCATGGCATTGTAGTACTTCTTCTGTTCTTCGGTCATGAAGATGTCCTGACCTCCAAAGTAAAGGAAGAAAGAAGAGAGCGAGCAATTACAATAGGCTCTCACATGCTATGGTTTGGACGTAAGGTTCAACCCTAAGAACTGAGGGGGGACTGACCCCCTTATCTTTCCAGAAGTCAGTTAAGCTAATAGTTGCCCCATAATGAGGTCAACCTGGGACAACTATTCTAATTCAAAGAAACACCAGCCTTTGTCTTCAGCTTGGAATTCCTGAGGTCTGCCAGTGGCTAGGCACAAAGGAAATGGGCTACCCCTCTGTGGGCCCTCAGGGAAGGGTACACTTGAGAGCATCAGTTGCATCTCACTGGTTCACACATGTTTTTGGACCTGCTTTCCTGATAAAATTCTAAAGAATAATATTTTTAAACGAAAGGATTTTCAAGTCCTGGTTATTGGTCCATTTATTTCCAACAATATTAAAAATTCAGAAATCCTGGTGCAAGAAAACAACACAGGGAGTTCCTTGACACAGACTTGACTTCTAAAATGGATGACAAGAGTGAGTGCTTCAGTCTGTTTGGGAAAAATTGTTAACTGTCTGGAACAAGTGAGGAAGTGAACTTTCCAAGGATGGATTTTCAAATCCCAGTTTGCTAGTGGTGCCCAGGGAATCCCATTGGTAATGACAAGTCTAGACACTTTCTACTTCTTGCTACAGTTATTCAGTTGCTGCTTTCCTTCTCACCCCTGTCACCAGACCCTCTCTGACTCTGACTCCCTCTGGCAAGATGCCAAACCCAGCAAAGACCTCAAGAATTGCTAGTACATTTGGTACTAGTAAATTGCTAGTTTGGCCTAGGAAATGTGGTAAACCACATACTGTGCAATCCAGCCCCTCACAGAAAGAGCTGGGTGGCGCTAATGTATAATGGGGCCAGGGCCACAGTGAGGTGATAATATGGATTTTAGAGAGAGAGAGGCATTTTCTTTCTAGAGATAGGGACAGAAGTGCCTCTCATCTGAGCTAAGCTCTGGCCGCTGGCAGTGAGGGGACGAGACCTATCTTTTTCTTTTGTTGATTGAAGTTATCAATGATGACGCCAATGAACAGGTTCAGGGTGAAGAAGGAGCCGAAGATGATGAAGATGACAAAGTAGATGTACATGTAGATGTTGTCCTCATACTTAGGCTGCTCGTCAGGCTGTCAAAGGATAAGAGAGAAAAGAAGAGAATCAGCTCCTAGCATGGGAGGAGGCGGGCCATTCTGACATGCCATGGCCACCAGCCATAACTGACCACTGGAGCTGCTGCGCAAGCTGGGGTGAGGGCGCTCTACGTTCTCTCTGCCCCGCCCTGCCCTGCCACTTAACTTAGGTGGAGAATATGCAAATGCCGAGGCCAGGGGGAGGGGAGGGCTGTAGGCTAGGAGCCACACTTCTGTCAGCAGTACTGAAGAGGAGATGGCTCCACTGGGTAAAACTCAACGGCCTAATCATCCGGAGCCAGTGTAAGAGAGCGATGACTGACTGAGAGGAGGAAAGTGAGCTATAATCAATCAAACAAGCAATACATGTCCTAACCCCCTCTTTCTTGATAAGCGCCGCCATGCTGCTTGCTTTCTAGCCATCTAAGAAGGTTGTGGTTTCGCCAGGTGTATCCTTACCTTTCGGGAATCTACAGCTGCATACATGATGTCCATCCAGCCTTTGAAGGTTGCCTGGCAAACAGAGTCAGTCATTAGACTGTGCCTGTTACGGGGTGGGCGGGGGTCTAGACAGGGGTCACAGAGGCCAGGCTCAGGTTCAACGTGAACACAAGACAGAGTTTGGGCATGGCCTCATATGGACACAGAATTTTCTGTTAGTTAATACAGGTCCCGAGGGAGCTTTGACTAAGTCCCTGAAAATAACTCCAAAGTTTGGCAGAGAAACATGTTGACAGTGGTAACTGGATCAATTCTCTCACAAAAGGTCTTTAAAATGGGTCTGAGAAGGTTTCCTAAAGCTAGGGCAAACTCATATTTACGAATGAGTGGCAGGAATCTATTGAGGTACTGAGAACTTAGCCTACCACTGACAAGTCATTTTTTTACAGTGGTGTTAAATAAGCAATGGGGGTCTGAAAATTTCTAAGTTGCAGTTAAAAAAAAAACAAAAACAAAAGCAACGCAAGGCCAGAACTTTCCCCCTACTACTTTCTGCATTTAGCCTATGTCAGTGGCAATCCTGGCTTCATCCCAGGCAGTCCTTCCTAACTGCACTCTCTTTCCATCTACTATACCTCGTCTGATTTTGGAAACAAATACGGGTTAGCAATTCAGTGTTCTCTGTTTTCTTTTTGTCCCATTTGTTTTATTTGTTCAACCAGACTCAAAGTTTTTTTCAGGGCATGGGTGGTTCTTCATTCATCAGACGGCCCTAGTAGTGCCAAGCACAGCACCTTGCACAAGATGGGGACTCTGAATACAATGCCTAATTGGCTGACTGATGTGCTTTGGTCTCCTGGAGCTGCTCCAATTCGGATTCAATTTGTGGGTCCAATTTCCCCAACTGGGATAAAAGAACAAAAGACTCTGGAGTAGGATAAAGCTCATTCTATTAACTTTGGCTCCTAATACTAGCTGACAGTAAGTGCTTACTATCTGTAAGGTCAAGTTGAAAGTTTCACCTGCATTACAGCATTCAATCCTCCCAACGACTCTACGATGTAGGCACAGTTCTAACATAGTAACAAAAATACCTAATAGCAAAAGACTATTAATTAAGCACTGCTCTGTGCCAGGCATTGTTCTAAGAAATTTTAATGAATCATCATGAATCCTCTTAACAACAGTGCAAGGTATTACTACCGACTTTTAACAGATGAAGAAACAGACTTGGGGAAGTTGAATAATTTGTCCAAGTTTACATATGCAATAAACATCAGAGTGTGGCTCAAACCTACAACTGTCTGACTCCAAATCTTAAGAGGTTTCATTGCATCATCCTGTCTCATGAAACAGTCCAAAAAATTGGTGAGAGTGGAAGAGAAAACTAAGACATGAGGGTACACTACATAATTAAAATAAATCCTTTCTTACTGCAATATATTAATTTGAGACCTTTCTCTGGGGTTGGGCTGACATGAGTGGCAGCATCCTAGCACTGTCATATTCTTTTCTTTAGTTCACTTAGTGTAGCTGTTATATAGGATTATTCTGCTGAATCAAAATTCCCATTTTTTTTGGTGGGGGTGGTGTCTATGCACTTACTTTCTTTTTTTTGCCCCCCACCCCTTCTCCCTAAATACATACTTTGTCCTGGAGAGAGAAGGTGGTCTCTCTGCAGCTTTCTTATGCTGCAGGAATCTATTTGTTGCTGAGCAGAACTCTGCTCCTGAGCCCAGTGAGAGATCCCCTTTGAGTGAGGTCTTGGAGAATTCAGAAGTTCTCAGGAAAGGTGTCTCCCTGGAACTGGTTTGGGAAAGGACATTGTTCTCTGACCTACTAGGAGTAATTCTGATGCTGGATGCAGGAATGAGAAGGAACCAAATGCGATTTTTGCCAGCTGTCTGGGCGTCACGGGACTGGCCAAAACAGCAATGCTTACCACTTGAAGAAGAGCCAGGTAGCCTGCCCCAACGTTGTCAAAGTTGATCTTCACATTCTTCCACCTGATTTCTGTGTTGTTCCCCTCCATGAGCTTTTCACACTCAGTTTTATTGTTGACATCTTCAATATCAAATCGGATTTCAGAAGTCTCATTAAAGCAGTAGTGATACTTTCCCGCAAACAGGTTAACTCCCATGATGCTGAAAATCAGCCAGAAGATGAGACACACCAGCAGCACATTCATGATGGAGGGGATGGCGCCCACCAAGGCATTCACCACCACCTGCATTGGAAGGGGGAGGTTGCTGAGTGTTGGGAGGAAGTATGGGCAAGCATACTCTTTTGATTTCCAGGAGGGGAATGATACTGTGTGGCTTGTTCTGACTATATAAAAATGTTGTGTCCCCTTTGGAATTAGGGTGGCTGGACAGATCCACAAGTAGGACCAAAATTTTCTAAATCTCTAAAGTATATTTTGAGGAATACTAGTAAATTCCATATTTATTTCATCTAACACGAATTTCCCTGCCCCAGTTGACCTAGGTCTTCTCTCCCAGGCTCCAACCTGGGACTGAAAAAATTATTTCTTAGTCTAGTCTCCCTCCTTGCCAACTCATAAAATATGTCCCCATGGGGGAAATCTGATTTCAAGCTCACCAGTTGCCTTTCAACAGACATTCCCCCTCTGCAAAACAAGGTAGGATTGTTCAAAATCACAGAGAACTACCCTTTGGGGTTAGCAGGGAATCAGTCAATGGTACACAAAGTCTCTTTTATGCAAGGCCAGTTATCTTATTTCAGGCAATAGCTGAGCATGCATATTTTGCAGGCTCAAGAGAAAAAAAAAAGCTATATTCCCTCTACCAAACGGAATAAAATAAAATCTGAACAGATGTATTTTTCACTCAAGGTTCATTATTCTTCTTAAGCCTTTTTTTTTTTTTTTTCCTGACTTTGTAGGCTTCTGAATCTAAGAGTCGCCCCTGTTTGGCTAATGCTGATTAATGTCTCTCTGCTCAATCCAGGGCTGGACTCGACTCTTCACAATGTATCAGAAATAGGAATGACTTACGTTTTCTGGAGAGTTCTGAGTTAGATCAATGTTCTTGAAACCCCCAAACTGGCATATTGTTAAAAATCACTGACTGCAGTAAGGCTCAGGAATGAAAAAAATGCAAAGGGAAAAAAACCCTTCAGGAATCAAAGTTTCTGGGTTGTTTTTAACTTTGATTTTGATTCACACTATAGGTGAGAGTAGCTAGACAACACTTCCACTGTGGCAGCAATTTTCACTAGAGGAGTTCAAAGGGCTTATAAAAATAGCATTTCAGGGCAGGGGGTGGGGCAGAAAATAAAGCTGGTGTTCATTCTGCCCTGATTCTCACTTGCTGTTGTCTTAAGCGGGACTGCTAAGGCCCAGAGAGGTGACCCTAAGGTGGGAAGAATGTGTCTTCCTTTTTCTAAATATCCTAGGAAAATTAAAATGGAGTTAAAATAAAAATAATGGCTATAAACACAGCTTTCTAATGTTTTGTCAGAAGGAGGTGAGAAGTATCACCGTGTTCTGGCCTCAATTTTTCAGTGCAGGGAAGAGGCAGGACATACACACTGCATAGGCACAGCATCAAAAGGGCCCACAGGGCTGTGCTGTGGAAGGAACACCAGGGGGCAGCTCTGGGCTCTGTTTGAGCCCAACTTGACTTGGGGTTGGATTTTCCTTATCTTCCGTTCTCGCCTTAGACTGCGGTGTCGCTGGTTGGAACGCGGGGCTGGGAAGAGCTGTTCTGTCCTATATAGAAAAGGCAATGATATTCTGCTAAGGAGTCACTCTTCTTTAGATTAAAATATTAGTTTGGTGTTTCTCCAATTCACATATGAAGGCCTTTAGATTGAGAGGTAGTTATTTCTTAATTCTTAGACCAAGAAATCTCCTCTAGATTTAATAACTCTGTCATTAGTGTAAAATGATTATCCTTTAACTGTTTATTACTTTGAGGGAGGAAAGCCAGAATATCTGAAATCTAGAAAATCCTCCATGTTATTTTGGAGAATGATTGATTGATTAATTGATGTTACCAAATTTGTCAGGTGATCAGATTTGAATTTTACCTCCTCATTCTACAATTGCTCACCCCTTGGTGGAGCACCAGAAAGCAATGAAATATGCAAAAGAACAGGCAAAAAGAGGATGATCCACAAATGGAGTAATCACTTCTCGGACAGTAAGAGAGTCGATTATCAAAATTCAAAAGCTCAAGTCTATGTGACAGCATTTTGCAGCAGAGCTTAGGTGAGAGATCATGACCTTCTATTAGACCATCACAAGTGTGCAATACGGAAGTAGACCCCAAAAGATTTCAAACCTAGAAATGCTTCTTTTTATCTCAGTTCAGAATCTACCTCCTCTAGGAACGCTTCTGACTATCTCAACCCGGTCTAACCTGCCTTGCACAGTGTTACACGTTACAGTTAAATATGGGGTAAGATTTATAGCAGGGAAGAATAATTAGCTCATTAACTAAGTGACCTCTTCCCACTTTTATACCATAGATCTGATCAAAAGAATCAAGACACGAAAGTATTTACTGAACCTTGTTCTATGTAGGACATAAAATCCTATAAAATCCAACGTACTTATATGATATAAATATACTTTTGATTAAGTATAACCAAAGAAAAACTTCTTCACTTAGCTTTATGAATAAAAGAGTAAACAGTTGATGAAATTTACTAATAATTTTTCCTGGCTGTAGACATGAGCTAATAATGAAAGTTGTTTAACTGTGCTCCATATATAATTGTCGTCGTGCTGATATTCTCAGTGACCAAAGGGCAAGAAGCACTCTCGCACTACAGGTAAGTGCAAATGGCAATTCAAGTTTCCATAGGCAGTCACTTCGTGAATTGGTCCCTGATAACTCAAATTATTCTACATTGTCTTTGTTATGATAAAAATTCATTGTTCAAAACTAGGTATAGAAATATTACTAAAACTTGGGTCTAGCAATCTATGAAGTTACTGTTTTCAATGGACATTTATACTTAATGATTGCTTCAAATCTACTTAACTGATGAAGAAATTCCAATGGATATTAATTCTTAGAGCATTGTTGTCTTCTCATAATGTCTAGAACATTACCATTCATTAAATGCTATAAAGTCTGTCAAATAGTTTTTAATATCTGGCAGAGGGAACATGGCTTTAATGGACAACTATGTACTGACAATCAACAAAAAGGCATGCATGTTTCATAGCATTATATAACCTCAACAATTTAATAGCACAGCAAAATCTCTTCAATGAAGATTACTATGGAGGAGAGAAAAGCAAAGAACTACATTAAGTGTTCCTTTGTCAATAGCATGAGTGTTTTGATTTTCTGGTGTTTGGTTTGAGGAAGGAGAGAGGAAGAACTGAAGTCAGTGTCCCAGGACGGGCTGGGGCCCTATGTTCCCTCCCAAACGGAGGTCTGAGCCCACCATTGGAGCAGCACAGTGACAGTTGAGCCCACCTGCATTGATGGTATTCAGGTTATGAAGAGTTCTTATCGAACATTTTCTAAGGGTAATCGCTCAGTGTCGGTGTATGTAAGAACCCATACCAAAAAATAGAAAACATATGGCCCTGTAGGACAGTAGCCTTCAAAGAAAATGTATATACCTGATCCTGTTTATCGCTGGGAAGCTGACTGTTAGCTCAGGCAGACTCAGTCTTTTCTTCCTGCAGTTACTCTTTCACAGAGCGGCTGGGAAACTGCAGGACAGGCTGGGCCCTGAGCCCTCTCCCCTGCCCAACCAGAAGTGGCCAGTTCTGCTGGCTGACTGGAGCCAACCAAACCAAGGGACACTCCTCTACCAGAGCTTCCCTTGCTGAACACTCATTGTTTGAAATCCTGGCTTTCAGTTCAAACTGGTTTTCGCTCATAGTACCTTAGCTGAAAAAAACCTTCATGTAGAGGTTTCACTTTCTCATGCTTTTTCAGAGAAAACTTTCTGCTGGTTCTGATCACGGCTTCTGGTCCCTAAATTACTTGAAATTTGGCAACTAGAAGTTTTGGGGGAATGGAAACTGGGAGTCCAAGGAAAGGTGGGGACAGGGGGAGGGGCTGAAGGGAAGAGGTGTGGCCACCCAAAGGGCCCCTGGGTCCAGGTGACTCAAATAACCTCCTCCTGAGCAAGCTGGCCCCAGCTGGTCATCAGGGACGACTTCTGCCACGGGCGAGGCCTGGCAGTAATGAGCATCTGGGTGGAGAAAGTTAGTAGCAAGTGTCAGCTGGGCATTTTTTCTTGGGCTTTCTTCAGGTATTACCAGTGTGGCTTTAGGAGGTCCAGGATCACTGGCACCGGCTGAGGAGGAGCACAGGCTGCTGAGGTGGCTACAGTGTGCCCAGTACGGTCTTCAACAGCCTTCCTTTACTCCTCAGTGTTTCAGTCGCCAACACCAATTATCAACGCTCTAAACAGAACTGACAGGACTTATGAAAAGAGTTTCACCAGCCCTTGCTGAAAACAGTGGGAAAGCAGGGGAGGAGGGGAGGGCACGGTAGTCCCGGGTCTAATGACCCGGAACACGGAGTCGTCCGCAGTATACGCTCTCTCTCCCTCACTCTGGCCGGCGCCTTCCGGTGACCTCACTGTGCACGTTCTGAAATCTCTCTTCTTTCTGGGAGAAAGACTTAGACTCCCAAGTTTTGCTTTGTTTCTTAAACTGGAAGAAGTCTGTGTTGCCGTGGACCTGACCTTCCTGCGGACGGTTTCGGGCGGGTTGTGGAAAGCTTACATGCAGTAAACCGAACCGTGACTGTGCTACAGAAAAGACACAATTGGTGGCGAAAAGCATTTGTCTGAAGAAACTAACAAAACACAGTTCCCGAGGCGCAGTGACGTCCTCACCCTCCTGTACAACCGTGGGGAGTTCTGTGGAGCAGTGGCCAGGGGGCGCAGATGAGGAGTGGGTGACGCGGCACTGGCCTCGTACCTAGTCTCTCCAGTCGGCCTTTCTTCCTGGGGACCACTGGAACCATTTAATTTTTATTCCTACATTCTGATATTTGCACATTTAAAAACATAGCCTCTGGTTTGCTCTCCTGCATGTATTCCACATCTGAATGGAAACGAGTTTTCTTGGTCTCGTTAAGTATAACAGACCTCTCTCTGTTACCACAGGACAACGATTACCACTAAAAGCCAGTTGCCCACTTGATTTTAGGAAATTGACTTTTCAGCATGTGTGTGTGTGCACACGCGCATGCACACACATGCACATTTTTTTTTTTTAACCAAGAGAGACAGCAAAAGGGCACCAAAAGAGGGAGACTTGTTTCGAAGTTGGCAGGGTGACAGCACCTTGCCCTGTTTGGATTTGGGTGGAGTATCACCAAAGCAGGAATAGCAGGTGTCAAGAAATTTCAGGAGAACTAGCTGAGAAGTCATCTGGCGTCATACCTGATTGTTATTTTGATGGTGTCAGGATAGGGGACCATATAGCGTGGGCAGAGGGGTGGGGGGTGAGGAGGAAAGCTTTGCTATCAGACAGAGAGGCTGCCAGTCCTTATGGGACTGGGCTGAGAACAACAAGGTGCAATAAGAGGAATCAGAATAGAAAGAAAAGCATTTCTTTTCCCAGGGCCATGCCAAATTCTAATCCATTCCCAATTCCAGGCCTGCCATCATGTCTTTCAGCTGCTTTCTCAGTGACGGCAAGGCCACAGTCCCCACCTGGCTGATGCCCCTCTATGGCACTCGCCCTGCCTGCGGCCTCTGCTTTTCAGTGGGTCTGTGGGTTACAATTCCCCTTCTTTGCACCTGGTGATTCTCCCTATTAAATCAACAGCCCAGAAAGCCGCCCCGAGTGCTAGAGGTAAGCCAGGCCAAATGAGAATAGCCAGCGTTAACATGTTCTGCGATGGCACGCTGTTGGGGTGGGGCCCATATTAATGTGATGAGGCAGCTTGATGCGACCCCCTCGCACGGGGCAGGTGCGGGGAGAGAGTGGAGGATCAAATCAGCAGCTGCATCACAGATCGTGTCTGAATGATCTTCCCACCGTGTGATCAGTTCTAGCATGCGTAAACAGTTTCCATCGGCATGCAGAAGGATCAGCTGCTCTTAGTATCTTACCCTCATCCCTTCAAATCGTGATAAGGCTCTTAAGGGTCTCAAAGCTCTTAGGGTCCTAAGGGACTTTATGGCACCTAGTTCCGAGTAGCCCAGGGCATTAGCTATAAGGCTGACTAAAGAGACCTACACGGAAACAGAAGAGAAAAACAAAAACAAAAAAGGAAACAAAACAAAACAAAGAAAAACAAGAAAAGAGGTTCCAGAGTGTTAGAATAAAGCCCCTAGCACTGATTACACAGATTGGGCCCCCCAGGGAGAGAGAGTGGGTAACACCAGCTGCCTACTTCAACTTGGACTCAAACGACCTGAAAGGAAAGGAGGTTGAGAGGCAGAAGAAAAAACACAGGGGGGAGGAGGAAATCGAGAGGAGGCGGTAGAACATACATACAGGTTGGCAAAGGGGAGAGGCTGAAGGGAGAGGGGGAATGAGGACGTTCCAGTGGAAGGAGAGGAGCCTGAACAGATGACAAAAACCTTACCCTCGCCCTTTACAGCCTCTGCAGCTCCCAGAAGTTGCCATTAAATTAAGCCAGACAAATTTAATGGTACCTATGGAAAAGAATACAGATAAATACACACACTCCACACAAGCTGCCCCCTCCTCAGCTCATTCACCATGGATTTCCAACAGGGACAAGCTCTCTTGCTCCTGGTTGACAAGAAACCATTTGCTGGAGAATGTGACGAGTTACTACATCAACAAAGGAAACGTATCCAGTAGGTGCCACAGCTGGCTTTGCAGTTCCCGAGAAGGCAAGAACCAAAGGAAGCAATTTCTAGACAGAGTTTTGGCTCCACAAGAACTCCCTTAAGCAATTCTTCCATCTCTCACTTTCAACTATAATAATCCTTCTGTCCTTGAACTACCACCATGACTCCTTCATGAGAACTTGGGTGGGTCTGAAAACTGAACCCATATTTCTCCTTATCATCCCCATTCTTTCTCTCCATAACGGCTCAAAATGAACCGGCCTCAGGTCTGTCCCTTCCTGGACCATCTTCTACTCTCATTGTTAGAAAAACAGCTGGAAGGATTCTTAGAAAAATTTTAGAAATTTTATTCACAGAAGAGCACACGGAGACCCACGAGAATCTGCCGACTGTCCCACTGGCAGTTCTGGAGCCAGAAAGAGACCCACCCTCCTGGTTTGTAGGCCAGAGCTCCTGCCACAGACAGGTCACCTCCCCGACTGGCATGTACAATATCCCAAGAGAGGGTTATCCGTATCTGAACAATCCTGAGTTGACAGTATTGCCCTGCTGGGGAGAAGCCTGCAGGTCTCCAGGCCTGGAGTCAGGATGGGCAAATGCCTTCCTGCTCTTCCAGAGCCAAACTCAGCTTGCCCTGGTACCAGAGCACTCAGAGCAGTTCCCAGGTGGTCCCACAACACTGGATGCTGACTATACCGAGGGCCACCTGGGCCTGACCTGAATTCCCACCAAAGGAAACTACCCTTAGCAGATCAAATCCTGACATGTCTGGGGCTCTGGGTTTCTTGGAGCAGTCTTTCCCGAGTACTGCACCACAAATCTGGGATAGGTTAAGATGTTCCCATCAATCATTCTTAAGTTCCCTCTACTGGAAAGTGGTGGTTACCGATCTGCTTGGCCTAAATTGATGTTTTAAAGCAAAATTAGAGGAGAAAAAAAGGAAACAACCTGCAACTCAGTTTCATTTGTTGCTTTTTATCTCTAGCTGAGGGCTTTAATTCTTTGATTCTGTATCTCTGAACTGTATAAAACGTTTTAAAAAATAATTTCTTTTCTTTTTACAATGAAGCAGCAGGACTGACAGGAGGTAGAAGTGGAATGTCCGTGACCTAGTAAGGGAAAGGAATGAGCAGGCTCAAGGATTTCAATTTTTTAAAAGGGGTGTGGACCTTTATCCATGCATGGACTCATAATCCATCAGTGTAGGTATCTTCCCTGCAGTCCTAGGCAGTATTCAAAGCAAATCTGGAATTAAAGCCTGCCCTATTTACTCATGTTCTTTGAAGAGTACATGCTTCAGAGTTCAATTTTTGTCTGAAACAAGGCCCTCAAAAGCTTTATCTGGAACACAGTAGCCCAACCAATCATTTTCCCTCCATTCATCATTACCAGGAAGAATCTACATGGAGGTGTTTTTGCCTAATATTGCCAAGTGCAGCCAACTCTTAACACCAAATAATCTATAATTGCCAGATTCTTAGTGAGACCTCAATAGGTACACCTGAAGGTGAGCTATCCCATCCTGACTAAGTGCCTGAGTTCAAAATACCCGAGTGAACCTCAACCTGAGAAACTATGCCAGGTAAAGACCGCAAAACACTAAGCTTTGAGGGGCGATGGGCCCCATGCACGACGGGCCCCACACATGGCACGGAGACCCAGCTCTTCGGGGGGCCCAGGGGTGGTTAAGCTGATAACGGAGAGGCCTGAGGTGGGAAGAAGGACAGAGGTACAGATGCCGATCCTGAGGCTGGCTCTAAATGGTGCCAAGATAATGTGCGGCTCAGCGGATCAATCCAGCCAAGATCTCCCAAGGCAGGGTCAGCAAGGGTCCTATGTCGGTTATTCCTTAGCAGCTGAGGGTGCTCTGATAATCCTGAGCCCCCATGTTAAACTTTCACTGGAGGTAACCAAATCATTGCTGAAAGTACACTTTAAGGAAAGAATCAAACCTGGAAAAAAGAAAGGAGTTGGGAAGTAAAAATTCAGGGTATCAGTGGCTACAGGAATGGAAAAAAAGGGAGACACTGGGTGGGCTTTTTCCAAATGATGTGAACATTTTCAAATGGAGAATGTCTGTAATAGTCTGAATTCAGGATGTGTGGTCTCTGAAAGTTCCCGTCCTTGGAACTGATACGCTGGCTAACCTCCGGATATGATGGGATAAATTTCCCTAGGGGAAAGATGACAATAGTCTTCTACAGGACAAGATCTCCAGTGCAGCCAAGAACCTGAGCAAAATGAAACATTGTCTCTGGGAATTACCTGCCTTGTGACCAAAGAGAATTAACCTTGGAAGTTGTTGGGATAATCCATGTGATTGCAAAAAGTCCTCTTAGCAGCTTTAAGGGACAACACAAAGGAATGAGAATCCATCAGGGAAACAAACATGGTGATGAAAAACAGATTTGGACATCTAGTCACTGGGGGATGAGATGGGAAGAAGAGAGCCTCTCAGAGATAGTGCTAAAGTAGGACCTAAAATTTACACCTGCTGGATGTTCTAGAATGTCAAAGGCACAAGACAGCAAAAACTGTGATGGCTCCAGCTGTGCAGGTGTCAACTGAGCCTGCTTCTCCATTCACAACTCAGGGTGGCAAACGGTGCAGCCACATTGCGGACTGGGGCTGCTCCCACTTAGCGCATGCTGCTTTGGACTGTGATTATTTGTATACATGTCTCATCTTTCCAGGCCCTTCGAGGGAACCGTCCATGTCTTCTGTTCTCTGTATCTCCCACAACTCCTGGCAGGAGGCTTGGCATGTTGTGGGTGCTCAATAGACATGATACAAAATGCACTGTTGTGTCCAAGAGAAGTCAGTGGATGGGAGGGTCCCGGGAGAGCCCTGTTCCCAGAATGCTGGATTACCGCAAGGCTGGAGTCAGGCCCGAGTGGTCCTGCAAGCTGGTGTGAGCGCCAGGGGCCATGCCTGCCTGCCCCACATGACTCCCTACAGCTTCCGGGACAGCTCTACACAGAGAATGGTATTTGATTTCTATTTGTTGACTAATAACTGGTACAGAGGTGTTCTTAGGAACCACTGTCAGGTCTCAAGGCAATGTAAGAATCCAGCAACTCCCTCAAGCTGGGGAATTTATGGATTACTGTTGGCCACATGTCTGTCTCATACTTTCTTTTTTCTTTTTAAAGATTTTATTTATTTATTTGACAGAGAGAGAGACAGCGAGAGAGGGAACACAAGCAGGGGGAGTGGGAGAGGGAGAAGCAGGCTTCCTGCGGAGCAGGGAGCCCGATGCGGGGCTTGATCCCGGGACCATGGGATCATGACCTGAGCTGAAGACAGATGCTTAATGACTGAGCCACCCAGGCGCCCCTGTCTCATACTTTCTATTTCTCTGCCACCCAGTATGAAAAGTGATAGAAATGTTTGCTAAATAAATGGTGATGTGCAGGACGGTCAATGCTTTTATCAGCTGATTTGGGTACCAGGTGGTCCTGTTCTGTGGAAAGAGAGCAGGCCCAGGGTCCCTTTAGTTCTCTGGGCCATCTCCCAAGCCCATTTCTTAATTCTCAGAGCTCGGGCTTTCCGTCTGCGGGAGGTAGAGTCCTTCCGTCAGAAGGTACTAGTGGTAGTTGCTGAAGGGAGTGCTGAAACCTCTTGCTAGGGCGGCCTCGTGTTGGTGCCCTCTGAGGCAGTACCTGTTTGGTTCACTTTAAGGGCAGAGGGTGACTTTCACCTATTTGCAAAGGGAATGCAAAGAGGAGCAGAGCAAGAGCTCCTGGAAGGAGTCATTAACCACGGAAGTCGGAAGTCGCAGACACTGTGTAGGAACAGGAATGCATTTATAGAGCAGAGATCACTGGTGCGGAGTGCTGGGCTCCTGTCATTTGACAGAGGCTTCCATGCTGTTCTGTTCGGGATCCCAGAGGCACGCTCTAGGTAGTTTACTATACAGCTGAGGAAATATATATTCTATATGTACCCACCCAACCTCCAAACATTCCATTTGCTTGGTACTTAGCGCTCAGCAGGAAGTGAATTCTCCGTAGGCCCTGGTCCTGAAATTCCCATTCACCCTTTCTTTCAAATGCTGATTTGGCTAGAAGAAAAGAGCTTTAGTGATTACACAGAATCAGAAGCACTCAACACAGTTAGAAAAGCCAACAAGGAACAAGGGCTGGTGGGGTGAGCAACAGTTACAGATGATGCGGCTTAAACCCTGAAAAATAACACAGGAGGTGATGGCCGGCAAGCTTTGCAGATGATCAGAGGCCACCAAGCCTTGGAGATGGTCTTGGAATCTGGAGGAAGAAAGGATTCTCTTAAGTGTGATCACCACTGCGGAAATGGCAATGTGTGGGAAGGGGGGCGGTTATTTTGGTGTGAACGCCACCTCCTCTGGAGAGACTGACTTGTTCAGAGGAGTCTGGTACGGAGCCTTTAGTTGGTGAAGTGTCCAGAGGAACGGTCAGCAGAAAGCCTACCGAGATCCGCCCTCCGACCTGGACCCCAGCAGCACCCACGTCATCCTCACCCCTCTCCGGGCACCAGAAAGAGGACAGCCTGCTGGTATGGGGCAAGAACCTTCTTGTTCCCAGCCTAATAACGAGGGGTGCTGGCACCAATGTTTGCTCTCCCCGTTCCTAATCCCTGACTCTTCTAAGCCGAACCACCAGAGCACAGAGCCGGCTGGTCAGTCCCTGGGGCAAATGTAGGGCCTCTCAGAGCGCTGAGTGCTCCGAGCTTTACCCAAAACTACACCTCCATCTTGTCCGACACCCTGGGTCCCCAGGCAACTCTGGCCGTTGGAGGAAGGAACATCCCTGCTTTTGTTTTGCTACCAGAAGGGGTGGGGAGTAGAAAGCGGGACACGTACAGCCACAATGAGGAAGTCCAGCCAGCACCAGGCGTTGGTGAAGAACTTGACGAAGCCGTAGGCTGTCCACTTGAGCAACATCTCCAGGATGAAGATGTAGGTGAAGACCTTGTCAGCGTATTCCAGGATGGTACGGATGGTCTTTCTCTGCTCGATGTAGATGTCCTCGAAGGCCTGGAAGAGAAGCAGTGGCTGCCTACCGAGCCTGAAGGCAGGCAAGCAAGGCTGGAAGGCCGCCCTCCCCGCGGCAGCTCCTCCCCCTGCGGCGGACCTAGCCTCGGATTCCTGTCTCTCTCACCCCAGCCCCCTGCCTCACGTGGCTTCTTAGAAAAAGTCTTACTGAGATACAATCCACATACCATGCAATTCCGCAGTTGAAAAGCTCTCAGTATATTCAGAGTTGTGCATCCATCACACAATCAAGTTTAGAGTATCTTCATCCACCCCAAAAAGAAACCCCACGCCTTCTAGCTGCCACCCTCTGGCCTCCCTGTCTCCTACGAGTCCCAGGCAACCAATATGCTCTTTTCCCTCTTCATGTGAAGGGAATCAGATGATCTGTGGTCCCTGGTGACTGACTTCTCTCCCTGCGCACCGTTTTCCAAGTTCGTCCATGCTGCAGCCCACATCAGTGCTGCATTTCTCTTGACTGCTGAATAAGACTCCAATGTATGGCTGTACCGCAGTCTGTTTACCTTCCTCACTGACGGACACTTGTGTGCCTATGTTCTGGCTATTGTGAACAGCGCTGCCATGAGCATTCACGCATCCTTTTTTGTGTGGACATGTCTTCATTTCTCTAGGGTATAATACCAAGGAGCGGAACTGCCGGCTCACATGGTAACTGTAGGCTTCAGTTTTTGAGGTACTGCCAAACAGCTCCCCAAAATGGCAGCACCATTCTACATTTCCTCCGGCAGCGTATGAGGGTTCCAGGTTCTCTGTGTCCTTGCCAACACTCTATATGTTTATACGGTAACATCTTTTCTCCCTTCAGCCCCTGATGCCACAGATTTCAGGGGGAGGGTCACAGGACTGGGAGATGCTCAGGTGAAGAAAATCTTAGTCCGACTTTCTGTCTCTGGAATTCCTGAATGAGGTCACTCCCTAACACAAAGGTATGAGCATTCCCATGACTGGAGTGGTGGGCTGCGGAGGGAGAGGAGGGGGTCCCGCAGCGTGAGAGAAAACTACAGGTGGAACAAAAGTCCTGTGTCCTGCAATGGGAGGTCCTGCTCCGGACAGTTCTGGAAGGAAGGACAGAATCGGGCTGCCTGCAGATACATTTTCAACACGGGGCCCATGGACATCAGGTACTCCAGTTCCGTTACTGGGCAGATGGGGAGAGGTCATAGGTCCATAGTCCTTCTCAGGGGTCTTTTGTACAAATAACCCCCCTCTGCTCAGTGAAAAACTCAACAGCTTCCACGTCAAGTTTCCCCTTACCTCCCTTTGCAGAGATTCACTCTGTCACCCGACACATGTGAGATGCCCCAGACTGAGCTTCCCATCACTGGTGGCTCTACCCCCTCTCTCTGAAGTCCCGTCATAACCCCATTCTTGCCTTCTCTCAGACATTTTAGCTATGGCTTCACTTTGCTATTCTTTTTTTTTTTTTTTTTTTGAGAGAGAGAGAGAGAGAGTGGAGAGTGGGGGTGAGGGTCAGAGGGAGAGAGAGAATCTCCATCAGACTCCCTGCTGAGCCCAATGCAGGGCTCGATCCTACAACCCTGAGATCATGACCTGAGACGAAATCAAGAGTTGGGTGCTTAACCAACTGAGCCACCCAGGCGCCCCTTCACTTTGCTATTTTTAGGTCTCAAGCCTACTACTTGCACAGGGTCTCCATGTACTGAGCCAAGTACCCCCTGTTTTATTCATCTACAATAAAGAAAAACTGTCAAAGGTGAGCAGTAAAGAAAGTTCAAAATTTCTGTTTCACTGCTGCTTTTATTTTTTGTGGCGATGAGAAAGAGAAGAGTCAGATGAGGTGTGTTCTCTTAATTCTGGGTTTCTGTTTACTAGATTGGAGGAAGAGCGATGTCGACAGTCACAAAATACCTTTCTCCTGGCACTGGCCTGAGTCTCACGGGCAGAGACCGTGCCGTCATCTCAGGCCTGCACAGCACCTCAGCCAGCACTGAGGGAAGGGCTGTGGAGGCAATAAATGCCCAGAGCAGGCAGGGCAGTGGGACCCCTGCCTTGCTCAGATCCAGGCTACCAAGCCATCCCTCAGGCCTCCTGCATTTGTCCTGCCGCATTCCTGCATAATCCCTGCTTCCCACCCCCCACTCCCCACCAGCTCTTCTTTGCCACCTACTGCCTCCATTTCAGCTTCTCTTATTCTCCTACCTCATCAGTTGAAGCGAAACTTCTCAAGTCACTGTCGGGATCTTTAACACTAAATTTGGGGCTTCTTTCTTGCTATTTTCTGCATCCAGATTAGGCTTTGCTTCTATCCCTACACAAATGTGCCCGCCTTCTTTGAAAGCATTTTAAAATTCTGTATTCTTCAGCTTTCCCTTAACTCAAACAAGGAAAATGTGCAGCATCTCTAAGTCCCTCCTATCCTCAAATCTATCCAACTGGGGAACAGCTCCCTCACCCCTGACCCTGTCCAGGTCTCCTCAGTTACAAGCCAGCTAAAATGAAAGCAAATGCTCAGATAATTAGTTCCAGCAGGGAAGGAGCCTGCGTGTTCAGTGCCCCCCTGTGCCTCACACTGATCAGTGATAAGCACTTAGAATATGAACAACCTTTACACGAGAGGCCTGGCTCTTTAAGTATTTGCCAATGCCATGGGTTCTCCAAACCAGTTAGGGTGTGAGGGGAGATGGTGGAGGCGAACCCAACCTCCCTCCTCAAGTGAAAAGTAAAGAACAAGGTATTTGGGGTATTAGGCGAGAAAGGGAAGTTCATTTTAGGAAGTTGCTTAGGATGGGGCAAACTAAGCAGTGAAGATAATTAATTTGTGCTCTCATCCTGATTGAAAGGGGGTCTTGGACGTGAGAAGGATCATGCTGAGTGTAGAGAAGATCAAGATGTGGCTAAGTGGATTCTAATCCTAAAGGCTCAAAACAACAGGCCAAAGCACTTTGGCAGGCCATTATCCTTGGGACCACAGCCATCTGTGCTCTCAGAGAAACTGGGCTTGGGCCCCATCTGGTCTCTCCCACTAGTTCCTACAAAGCCTTCCCCAGCCCATCCCTCCCCATCCTCTCCCCTGGACTCACCAGGGCACCACTGCTGAGCAGAATCATGAAAATGATGAAGGTCTCAAACCAATTGTGCTCCACGATGAGGAAGCAGGTCTTCCTCAGGATCCACCAGGACTTGCCTAGCCCTTCTTCGATGTTGACCTGGCAGCACTTAAATCGCTGGACACAACCTGGCACCAGTGGGAGAGGCAGGTCAGACGGTGGAGCGTGCCTGCCCAGACCTGCCCCTGTAGGCTCTCAGGCCCCACCAGGCGCTGCCCCACCACACAGCCGGGAGTACAGTGGCTGAATCAGAATGTCTGACTCCGACGCGGACAGTGGCAGGGCTGGGGCTATGCTGCAAGGCTACCAGGGCATGGCCTCTGCAGTTAGGAAGATGTCCTCTAAAGAAGCAGTGAGAGGGAGGAGAAAAGGGTAGCCAGGAGGCTGACACAGCCATGACAGAACAGGCCTTGCTAGCGGTTTTTGGCCTGAGGCCAAGAGAAAATGGACAAAGAAATGTTTGCGAATATAGGTAGGAACCAAACAAGGGAAACAATATCAACTTCCCTCAAAACGCGGAGGTGGGGAACAAAGCTCCTGAAGATGGCCACGGAGTACCCACCCTCAGCCAACCACTGACCCCGGCAGAAATCCGCGAGCAGTGCCAGGGCCACAGGCCCACCCTTGTCCTTGCCCCCTTGTACCTTCTGTGAAGCAGGCGTCTGGATCCAAGTATTCCTCTGGCTGTTCCACGGGGACTTCTTCTACTTCGGGTTTGATATCGATGGTGCTTCCTTCAGAGGAGCTAGTATCATCCAGTTTCTAGATTCGCAAAGAAAAGGGAGCTCAACCAACTCTGGAGCGATACTTCCACTCCATACTGACAGTTCTACTTCGGGCATGGACGAGGGACCAGCTGTAATTCTTTGCAATTCTTATTATAAACTCATCATCATCCGGTTCCGGAGGGGCAAACAATTACCAGAGGGCCCTCAAAACTTCTGTCAAGACTGAGTAGAACACACTGAAGTCTGCTCCCAGATGAGTGATCCACCCTCCACAAAATGTGGCTACTGGTGGGTCTCAGTGCTACAGCTGACAGATTAATGGCAGGGAAGTTCTGGAGGGTTTGCTCCAGCCTCTGACTGAGATGATCCAGCAGCAATGGAGACAGATCTAGGACCATCTCAGGAAACTAGGTCACCCAGGGAAGGTCTAGAATGACAATGGGTAGTAGGGTTGGTTCTCAAACCTAGCTGGCTATTCCACAAGCTCTCTACCAAGCCCATAGCTGAACCAGTCTCGGGAGCTGACAGGGCCCTGTTTGTTCCCACACAGAATCGAGGTTGGGTTCTAGACTGGGACCTTACATCTTTGCTGCCTTCAGGATCTGACTCGCTGCTAACATCCTCTGTGTTGAGGTTCTCAAAATCAGACTCTCCGACAGCAATGGGCACCCGCACAGTCAAGTTGGGATTGTTGATGAAGGACATGTGGTCCTCATCAATGATATACTTCTCCACACTGCTGCCAATGCCACTGGTTGTGCCATTGCCATTCTTCTGGAAGTCACCATTCCGGTGGATGTCTGCACCAGTGTGGTTGGCGATGCAGTTGGCCTTCTTTTCATATAGCTCGTCCAGAGGCTTCACTTCATCGGCCTCACGCTGCTTAAAGTGGGCCTGCATGAAGGCGTGCACTTTGAGTTTGGCCCAAGCCACCCCCTTCTTGATTCGGATGACTGAGATTTGTAGGTTGTTCATTTCTCCATCATCGTCCGTGGCTGCCAGATTGTCTGCACTGAAGGAGCTCAGAAGCAGGGCCAGAAACAGGTTCAGCACCTGTACCAGTGGCATTAGGAGAAAGGAGAAGGAATGTAGACGGTATTAAGTCAAGTCTGCCACTAAACTAGGATTAAAACTGGAAGCCCACAGACTTATGTGACAGGCACAAGAGCTTCTATTGCAATAAACATAGGGGTGCATATATCTTTCCTAATTAGTGTTTCTGTTTTCTTTGGGAAGATACCCAGTAATGGAATTACTGGATCATATGGTAGTTCTATTTTTAACTTTTTGAGGAATCTCCATACTCTTTTCCACCAAGGGGGCAGTTTGTTCGGTTTTGGTTGTAATACAAGGTTAGCACCTCTTTTCTTGGTTCTCTTAGAGTTTGACATACATATATATGTACCCCCAAATATATTACTTTTCTTATAATCAGAAAAAATAAAAGCTGTATCCATCTTGGAAAACAATTCCCCCTCAAACCGAAGAAAAAGATGGACACGGCTTATTGGGAGGACTGAAGAAGGGACAGATGCCATGTATTCACGGGCAGTGGACATCTTGGAGAACCCACATGAGAAAAACAACTAGGCTTGGAGAGCCATGAGTTCCTACAACAAATCAAGAAAGGAGAATTGAAATACAGCTCATGTCATCTGAAGAATTAATTTCCTTTGTTTTCCTAACATTTATAAAATAAAACAGCTTAACAAGACAGTGATGGTGACTGTTGTGTTCTGTTGTATATCTAAGTGTCCAGCCATCAGATGCAAGCTTTATTTATTTATGTTTTAATAGCCTATTTTACCACATTGGACATTAAGATTAACTTACTTGTATTAAGACTTACTTTACAAATTGGGAGAGGTGTTCACTTTTTTTTTTTTAAGATTTTTATTTATTTATTTATTTGAGAGAGAGAGAATGAGAGATAGAGAGCACGAGAGGGAAGAGGGTCAGAGGGAGAAGCAGACTCCCTGCCGAGCAGGGAGCCCGATATGGGACTCGATCCCGGGACTCCAGGATCATGACCTGAGCCGAAGGCAGTCGCTTAACCAACTGAGCCACCCAGGCACCCGAGGTGTTCACTTCTTGATTTACACCTGGCCCTTACTTTGTCACACTTCTGAAGAAGAGCAAGCGATACATTTTGGGTGGAGATATTAGTATGGGTAGAGTGGGAGGGATGGAAACAATAAATGAACTCTATGTATGCAAATTATTCGGGCCATTTGTAGAATTACAAAGGAATATGGTTGGTAAAATGGGGGTGAGTTGGAGGGGGCTTTGAAGGCCAGGCTGAGGGATTTGAATTTTATTTAATTGGATTCACTATTGGTCTTTGAGTAAAGGAATAACAGATGATGGAGATTTGAGAAACTCATTCCTACCAGCTACGTACAGTTAGAGCTGTTACTTGCATGAGTTAATAAGGGTCTGGATTAGGCTACTGTAGTCTCAAACCATATAGCATGCCTGAAAATCTCCTGGTGGGGGGAGTTGCATGAAAAAATACTATTTCCTTGGCCTCACCTTTAAGATTTGATTCAGTAGATCTGGCATAGGGCCTGGGACAGCCTTTTTTAATGAGTGAAACTTGGATGGCTGTGATCTTCAGACCACACTTTTAAAAATACTGGATGGGTTACAGGAATGGAAAGGATGGGGAAAATCTTAGAAATACTATGAAGATGTATGAAAGGCATCAGACAATTTACTGGGAAGGGAGAGAAGAGAGTCAGAAGAGATTTATAGTCACAGATTCCTAGAGACTAGGTGGGCAGAAGGACAGAGCAAAGGGGAACCGGGAAAGGTGTCATCAGAAGCAGAAATAAAGTCATGTGCTCAGGCGTCTGCAGAGTCATGGGGAGTGGATGTGGAGACAAGGGAGGAGAATGGAGAAAGGGGGGCGAGGTCGGGGCTGGGAAATGTGGATCCCACTATGTACCAGGAGGCACAGCTGCATTCACTGAGGAAGTGGGAAGGCCAGCGGGAATAGGACTGAGGGAAGGATGGTCGGGCATGGAGAAAGGGAGGGGTTACAGAAACAGTCACGGTGTCTATTTTTACAGATCATAGGAAAGAATTAGGGTGGCACGGCTGGTTCAGAGGCTGGTGAGCTGGAACTCTCTCCTGGCATGCTTCTCTATGGCACAAAAAGGAGGAAAACTGCTCTGGATGAGCTGACAGGGGGTTATCTGGGTTTGCTTTCTTCCAGCCCCCCTTGCTCCAGACTTGCAAGTTGGATTGGGCCTGACCTGAAAGACAAGTACTTCTTAAACTTTAGTGTGCATGTCAATCACCTGGGGGTCCTGTTAAAAATGCAGATTCTGACTCAGTAGTTCTGGGGTGAGGCCCAAGATTCTGCATTTCTAACATACTCTAAAGTGACCTCATTGCTGCTAGTCCTCTGACCACACTTTGAGAAACATGGCGTCAAAATCTCTGTTGGTGAATATTCTATATACAGAGGCAGAAGACAGCAGGCTGACAGATCAGAGTAAAGCAAAAAAGTGATTAGCCATTTATACAAGTTAGATAAAACCCTCCGTCGATTTAGATCAGTGGTTCTAAATGGAGGGCAATTTTGCCTCATAGGGGACAGCTGGCAACATCTGGAGACATTTTTGGTTGTCACCTATTAGGGTTGGGGGGGCATTACTGCCCAGTAAAAGGTAGAGGTCAGGAATGCTGCTAAACATCCTACAACACATATTATAATCCTACAACAAAAAATTATCTAACCCAAAGTGCCAACAGTGTCAAGGTTGAGAAATTCTAATTAAATGAAGGAGACTTCTGTAGTAGAAAGAGCATAGATTTTGTAGTCCAGGATCTAATACATGCCCTGACATTTACCAGTTGACTGACTTCAGGAAGGTCACTTAACTTTGCTGAGTTTGGTTTCCATAACTATGAAAAAGGGCTGACAGGCTGTGGGGCTTATGACTCAGCAGGCCTCTGCAAAGAGCAGTCTCCTCTCCCTCATTTGTACCGTAGGGTTCTTGAGCCAAGAAAGACTAAAACCCAGCACAGACATGGAAGCTAGTTGGCCCAAGCCCATTGGGAATCTGGGTCAAGGGTAAGATGTTCTGGGCAAAGAAGGAAAAGTTGTACAAGTTAGTACTAACCACCAAGTTGCCAATAACCATGACCATCATGAAGACAATGAGGCACATGGCCTGGCCTGCCACTTCCATGCAGTCCCACATGGTCTCGATCCACTCCCCGCACAGCACTCGAAAGACAATGAGGAAGGAATGGAAAAAGTCATTCATGTGCCAGCGAGGGAGTTCACAGTCCTGGTTGATCTTGCAGACACACTCTTTGTAGCTCTTTCCAAAGAGTTGCATTCCTACCACGGCAAAGATAAAGACAATAATGGCCAGCACCAGGGTCAGGTTGCCCAGGGCACCCACTGAATTTCCAATAATCTTGATCAGCATGTTCAGGGTGGGCCAGGATTTGGCCAATTTGAAGACTCGGAGCTAAGGGAAAAAAAAACAAAACAAAAATCAAATGATACTCAATCCATTTTCTTCCACATGGCTAAAATAAAAATATGTAAAATTAGTGAGATCAGCTTAAATTTATTGAGCACCTTTGGAAAGTTCCCAGGACTTTCTGTCTTAGACTAAAATGGGAGAATGTGAGGCATAGACAGGGAAAATGGATCAGTTTCACAGTAAGTGAAAGACTTAAACTAGGAACCAAGAACATTGCCTCTAGCCCCCTGTATTAGTCCCTGAGTCAAACCACTTTTTATGTTTTATTTTTTAACTTTTATTTTTGTTTAAGTAGGCTCCATGCCCAGCGCGAAGCCCAATAGGGGATTTGAACTCATGACCCTGAGATCAAGACCTGAACTGAGATCAATAGTTGGGACGCTTAACCAACTAAGCCACGCTGGCACCCCTCAATCCACTTTTTAAGAACCCATACATGAATATATCCTTTTGTTATTGATTTTGCCTTGACTTCTCAAGGAACGTATCAAGGAAAATGTGAGTTGTAGTAAAGCCAAAGATCAGGATGGTAAGGGCAGTGAAAAATAAACCATAACTCTTTAAAAAAACCTGCATTTAAAAATTCTAAATATGTTGGGGTGCCTGGGTGGCTCAGTCATTAAGCGTCTGCCTTCGGCTCAGGTCCTGATCCCAGGGTCCTGGGATCGAGCCCCACATCGGGCTCCCTGCTCTGCGGGAAGTCTTCTCCCTCTCCCACTCCCCCTGCCTGTGTTCCCTCTCTCGCTGTCTCTCTCTCTGTCAAATAAATAAATAAAATCTTAAAAAAAAATCTAAATATATCTCTTTTTGCTTGCCAATAAACAATCAATAGCTGATACGAAACTTTGAGATATGCTTGGAATAACTTAGAGGAAAAGCACAATGCCCTAGTCGGTGCAGTTCGACATATATCAGACATCTTATGAAAAGGGCCTGTAATGATACTAATTCAGAGGACAGAACTTCTGTTACCTGCAGTCATGATATTTCTATATTCTGTAATGAATGACTTACAAGGTCTTAGTTAGTAGTCTGAGAATCATAATGCATAAAGCCCATGAATGAAATGATAATGATGAGATCATCTTCAGACGTCACAAGTTGATAACTAACACAGGATTAATAGGAGTTCTCGTAGAAGGCAACAGCACAGAGCGGAACATTTCTTCCCTATTAAAAGCTTGAGTCTTATCTGAGAGTTCAAGATGTACCAGGTGTTTCTCTGTACGAATATCTGGATCATTCATATTTTTTCCCTTTCTGACTGGCTTTTTAAATTATAAGGAGTACTCGTGCTAATTCCACCTCTTAGTCCTTCATCTCATCTTCCAGATAATGAGAACAATTTCCAAAAAGTCTACTGTGGGCTGGATCCTAACCCAAGACTAGTAAGCAGAGGTTCCAGAAACTTGGCAGATGTTATTTGTGACTTAGACTGAGCAAGACCTCTCTTTTATAAATAATTCCATGCTGTTCCAATTCTCTTTCTTCAATATGCTGAATATCCTAATGAAAAAACCTAAAATCCTTTCAGTTATAAGTGCTAAGGTATTTTTCCCAGTAGGGAGAGAAAACCTAAGCCAGTTCTGATGCTCTGAGTGGGATATCCCCCAAGTAACTCAGCTTCTCAAGGGACTTAATCAGGACATCATTTATGCCTGTGTTTATGGGAAGCTATTTCGAGGGTATCATTAACCATTCTTTCAAAGTCATTTTAGTAATTTTAACATTCACTTCTTCAAATACATTACAAAATCCTTCTCAGCTAATGTTATGGGAAAAAAGCCAATGTTCAACAATTAATTTCAATATAATTTTAAAGAATACTATTTTATTCCTGTTTTCTGGAAGGTATCACCATGATGGAAGAAATGAGAGACATCTTTGAACAAGGAGAAATTCCATTTCAGGGAGATGTTCAAATAAAGAAACAAATTTACTAGCAAATTCATTAGACCTCAGAATAGCCCTTAGGATCCTTTTTCATCTTTTAGATTAACCATTATTTTCTGAGGAACTTCCTAAAATTGACCTCTGTTTGTTGATTGATATTAAAAACTAACTTCTATATTAGGCACGTAGCAGAAAAATTTTCAAGATTTTAGTACCTAAGCCAATAAATTGCCAACAGGAATTGTGAGTAGAATATAGCTAAGGATTTTTTTAATCATTAAATTAACTTAGGCAAAAATTTTTTAGTAGCTGCAAGACAGGAAATGTAAAAAGAAATTGGAGAAATATGGAATACCAATCGGAAAGATCGCAGCACCGAAAGCCCCTCCACGTCTGCTAGACCCAGTTCCATTAAACTGAGGGAGACAATAAATCCGTCAAAAATGTTCCAACCTTCTTGGAAATAATAGTAGGGATCCATGGCTATGAGCTTCAGGAACATTTCCGCTGTGAAAATTCCAGTGAAAACCTAAAGAGGGGAAGGCAGGGGGTAAGAAAAAGAAATAACAGAAAGAGAATGCCTTTGTCATTATCTTTGAATACAACATGTCCAAGAAGCTGCAAGAGCTAGCCTTATTAAATTGTGCATCTGAGGACATCAGCACTTAGATGTCGCATGACTACTCCACATGATGCAGGAGAGCCTTGTTTTCCTCTTGAATCAAGTACTTAGTCCCAACGTTCATCTTCATTTTCAGAACCACCTAATTCACACTGTTCAAGACCGCATTTAAAAAGCTATTTTAAGCAACAGGAAGACCACACAGGAGACCCCTTCTAAAGGGTCAGCAGTCATTTTGAATGTTTATGTTTGGGATATTTGCCTAAAACAAACAAACAAAAAAACACCACTCATTGAATTATAATTCTATTTTAAAAATATACAATTATTCCTGATTTGATATTATGTGTCTTATCAAAGGTTGACATAGGCTGCAGAGTTTCTTATTTTAAATTGTAAAAGAAACAGAACACTGCTAATAGTGTGCAAATTATGGGGAAAAAGTATAGTCTCATCCTCTTGCATACAACCATCATTTTTACGTATTCCCTTTCTGGTTTTTTTCAAATGCATATATGTTTTGACAGAGTTGTAAAATCATAGAGTACATAATATCTTGGGTCTTATTTTTCACTTACCATAATTCAATCCATGTTGCTACATCGGCTTCTGAATTCCCATTTATATTGTTTGTATAAAATTCTACTGAGTATATCCTCAAAGAACTTTCTTTTCTTTTTATTAAATATTTATTTAGTTTAGAGAGAGAGAGAGAGAGAGAGAGAGCATGAGCAGGGGGAGGGGCAAAGGGAGGGAGAGAGAAAGAATCTCAAACACACTGGGCACGGAGCCTGTTGCAACATGGGGCTCGATCCTAGGACCCTGAGATCATGACCTGAGCTGAAATCAAGAGCTGGCCGCTTAATCAACTGAGCCACTCAGGTGCCCCCTCAAAAATTTTTCTTATTGTTGGAGACTTTGGTGCTTCCTTTTGATTGTTTCAATATGAGAATCAATGATGTAATAACTGTTTTAGGCTTGGAGCTTATTCGATATGAGGATGACTTCTTCCCGGTGTTACCTGACTCCTACTTTTGTACCTTTCAGAGCACCCTGTGTCTCCCAATGCCTTCTATATCCCACAGGACTTGGTAACATAACATGCAGTAAGAAAGCAAAATCCCACAAATGCCAGTTTTGACAAGACCAAACCCTCATTCTAAGCTAACCATGTAACAACAGACTCTTACTGAATATTATGAATTTAGGGGACTTTATATGTAATAGGTTATAAACTCATAATAAATTACAGCTTGCAACTACCTGGTTACCAAGTTTATAAAGGAAGCAGTTTTAGAAAAATTCTGAAGATATGGTCTGAGGACAAAACTGGAAATAGTGAAAAATACTTAAGATTACAGACAGTGTTTGGAAACAGACTCAGTGAATGTATAGCAATGACAAAACAGAACAGGGTGATGGAAATCAAAATGGATATGTGGGCGGTAAGGTTTTGTGTCTGTGTACTTTCCCATGGCTCCCCATTTTTCTAAACTGAAGATGCAGTATTCTAGAACTGAAAGAAAATACTCCCTAGAGAGATCCAGTTAAGCAAAATCAAAGTTCACCGTGCATGCTAAGCATCTACAGATGGAACATCACTGTAAGTGAGGGCAGCTAATCAATTCCTGACAGACATTTTACGCTCAGCGTAAACCTATGGAAGGTTTCTCTACATAGAAATGTCAGCCTGCTTACTGCACACACTTGTAAGTAGAGACTGGATTTGCTGTCCTGTTGGTTCTGGTGAACACAGAGGAAATGCTCAGTAATAAGCACTGGCTAACTGACCATGGGATATTTACACTGTGGGAACTCTGGTTCCTAAGAGAAAATCAACGATGACAGAGTACTGTTGCTTTTCAGTGGGATGAATGGCACCCAGACGCCGGGCAGAAACGCCCGTGACAGAGGTCAGCAACCATGTTATTTCAACATACAGTGATTGCCATCATTTGGGGTTTGCTGGTACGAAAGAATTACTTTTTTACAAGTGGGAAAGAGTAGATTTAAGGCTATCCCTATGATGCCATTCTAATTTGCACTGTGGCATGCTTCTTGAGGAGGAGACAAAAGGAGAATTATAAGCAGAGTATCAACCAACAACTGTACATAAATGTGGCTCTTGTGAGTGTCCTCAAATATTCACCTAGGAATTTATGTCCTAAGGTAGCAGTTCTCAAAGAAATTGCAACTGGGGTGTCAGGGCCTGAGAAGTGTGGGGAGAGGTAAACCTACAGGGAGGACATTGGTGTAGATGCTGGGTGTCTAGCATAGGAAGCCAGAGCCTGACCAGGGCAAGGAGGGCAATCATCTTGCAAGAGGTAACAGTGGTTTTTTGATCAAATAAATACACTACAGAGAGTGGCAACCAGGTTTCTTTTTGTCAGAGGAGTTACAACTATAGAAAGGGAGACACCAGAATGATCCGGTAATGCTGGACTAGAATAAACAGCCAGTCCCCTACTGAGAGGGCCCAGTCATGCACATTGCCTCCAATAGATCTTGACTTCTAAATATCATTTTCCACTACAACAACCAGGGCTCCTTGAGAAATGGCTGGTCCAGGCCTGAGATGGGAAAAATACAAAATTAGCCTGGAATACTCTGTGATACCAGAAAAAAGGAAGTAATGAGGATATGTTAACAGGACACATAAACCAGCTTGAAGGAACTCTCAGTGGCCAAATCAGGAACGGTTTAAACATTTAGGTAAATGATAATAATGGATTATAACCCACCAGGTAAAACTGAAAGCCATGAGTCCACGTTGATATAAATAAATGAATAAATCATAATTTTAATGAAGAAAAGTAAATTTAGGTATTTTCAAAACATCTTCACAAAGATTTACTGATTATAACGGAATTATAAATGAAAAGAGTAATTCTAAGGAGAGAAGACTGGAAGACCCCTCCTTCATCAACCGACCAAGTGACCATCACCAATATGGGACAAAATGGAAACTGTGCCACCTGGAAGGTTCAAAGAGAAGACAGCCTCGCTTGTGTGATATTCCTGCCAAATGTGTAAGCTGAGTCTAATCGTGAGGAAGCATCAGACAAACTGAACTTGAGGGAATTCTACAAAATAACTGGCCTGTAGCCTTCTCAAGTGCCAAGGTCAAGAGAGCCGATGAAGGACTGAGGAAGTCCGCCAAGCTGAAGAAGACTTAAGAGACAGGGACAACCGAATGCAACAGGACACTGGAACGGCGTCCTTTTGTTACAGAGGACATGACTGGGATTTCTGGCAGAACCTGAAGGGGCCTGAGAATGAAGTGGCTGTGAGGTGCACAGGAATTTCCCGAGTCTGATGGCTGTATCATGGTTTTGTATGAGAGTGTACTGTTTATAAAACACACACGTGAGAGGCTGAGAGGCTGTGTCAGCAACTTACTCTCCAAAAAAATGTCTTAGACTGTACCTGAAATCTTTCTCCAAGATTGAGATTGCTTAAAAAACAAACAAAACAAAACAAAACACCTTATAGACTCACTGTTGTGTTCAAATAGTTGCAAAAAAGGCAAGAAAAGAATCCTTACATTTATCTCCTGAATAACACAAAAGTTGTAGAAGTCACATAGTCTCCCTGGGCTTCCATTTCCTCTATGGAACGTGGGGGATGGGTAGAATTATCTGTAAGGTTCTTCCTCGGATTAATGTTGTTCCTTGTGGGGAGGGTGGAGGAGGCAGGAGGGACGCTCACTTTACAGCAAACTGTTCTCTTCTACCATCAGAAACCTCCCTCTGTGTATCTATGGACAGACACAGTTCAATTCACCGCCCCGGCTATGGGAAGTCCTCAGAGTTCCAACCGTGAGACAAGATCGTCCCCTATTTCACAAGCTGGTTGATCTCACTCTTTTCCATCTTCTTTTTCTCAGGTTTAGTCAAAGACTTTCTAGATGTCTCAACCTTTGGGAGCTCCTCTCTGCTTGTTAGATGGGATGCTGCCTAAGTAATGAATCATTTAACAAAGCCCATTAGATTTAAAACAAAATCCAAGCTACTGAATTACACTAATACAGTTCCCATGATTTGTAGAGTGCTTTTCACTATTCCAAAAACTTCTCTACAGGTTCTCATTTTATCCTCCCAACTGCCGATGACATGGCGTTATCCTTGTTTTACAGACGCAAACATTTGTGGTTAGAAATGAACGGCATATTGTAAGTTAGTATGTCCAAACAGAACTCTCGATTTTAAACTCCACACCTACTCCTCTCGCAGTCATCCTATTTCCCTCTTACCTGCTAAACGTCCAAATCTAGGTGCCATTCTTCATTTCTTTCCCTTCACGCTCACCTCGAATCTACTGGCCAGGCCACGGTGTCCTGAACCATTCACTATTTTCCATCCCCACTACTAATTGCATGCTTACAATTCTTTACAATCCCTTGAAAATTCTTGCCCCCAGAGTGCTTTCTCATTTTAAAACTCAGTTTTGGTTAGCTTCCTTCAAGAAATCCCTGAATATTAGTTGCTGACCTTCCCTTCTCTTCTCTTTCTTCTCAGTGATTCTGAGCAAAGTCTTCTGAATGCTCACAGCTCTAATTTAGGTGTAACCCTAAGTCTACAGTTTTTTAACAAAGGGAAAAATAATGTTATCTCCTGGCCTGGTCTGAGGGCAATTCTGCTGATGGTAGGTGAAAAGGCCTCTCGAAATCCCTTCAAAATCAAAGACTCGTTCTGTAAGAAGCAAGTAAAAGACTTTGAGAAAAACAAACCATCACAGGGAAAATACCACCAGCACCATCATCAACAACAAAATTATCAAGTCATATTTTTCATTACTTAACTCTTGGCTAATAAAATAAAGCTCATATCTGTAGCATTTTGTTGATTGGTTCAAAATGTTGCTTGATGGCCAAGCTTCTGGTCAGCTAGTCACACAGCCCACTGTCAGGTACCCTTCAGAGTCAGCAGATTTCCTGGACAGCCTATGAGAGTGTCCTGTTTCAACACTAACCATATTTCATCAGGGGGCACATGAGGGTTTACGTCGAAGCAGTGCGTGCCTGAAGTGTGTCACTAACTCAGGCATGGAGAGTGGAAAGACCACAGAGTTATCTTGGACATGTACCAGGGAACATGATAGGCTGCAAGGACTAAGCAGATAAAGAATCTCCTCCTTTGCCATGTGTGTTTTCATAATCAGAATTCAAAATGATAGTATAACACTCTAATAGTCTATTATGACTTAATGTAAAAACTCTTTGTGTGTGAGGCATGTGTGTGTGTGCGTGTGTGCGCATGTGGGGAGGGAAAGAGAGAAAGAGAGAGAGAGAGAGAGAGAGAGAGAGAAAGGAGAACATCAGGCAGAGATCATACTCAAAAGGTAACACACAACTAGATTTGACTTGCTCATCGTGAAACTCCTAAGGAATAATGAAGTCCAGATGACCTAGAAGATTCTTTCCAACTAAATCTTTCCTATCTATCAAAATTCAATCAACTCCTGATTTTTGGATTAAAGAAATAAAACAGATAATCCCCAAAACACAACTATTTGACTTGAGAAACTATTAAAAAAAAAACAACCTCATTCTTATCTTCTAAACAATATGATAAATTAAATATATGACTTAAGCTAACATTAAAATAAATTTGGCACAGATCAACTAATGGTAGAAACTGGATGAGAGCCCAGAAGTTGGATGTGAGGGGGATACCAGCCTAGAATTAAAAGTTTCCCACAGATAGGCCCCATATGGGTAATTAAGATATGACAGTGCAGGCAAATTTATAGTTATGTTTAATGCACTAAAAGAGCTCCCCTATTTTGTGGTGGTTGTTACTGAAGGTGAAAGGGGAAGTGATGTGCTGGAGTAATGCAGGAATCAATGTGAGAAACAGAATGAGAAAAAAAAATCCAGAAGTCCTTGGCTCAGGTTGCTGAAACCAACCCACCGCACCATGCCTCCCATTCTGTCACCATGGCTGGTTTTCTGCCAATAGCTCCTAAATGACGTCTTCAAAGTTCTGCAGAAAGAGGAAACAGCCAAGGGATCACAACAGTGAGCAGAAGTGACTGGGGCTACGCCATATGTGGAAGCATTTGTCTTCCAATTAACTATTACTTTCTTTTCAACTAAACTCCAGCTTCCAGTATCAGAAAAAGATGTCCTACAGGCAAAACATGTTCAGATCATAAAATCAGAAGACAGTATTCCATCTTACCAGATTTCCTACAGCCAAGACGTGTTCAAATTGTGGTGTCATGGGATGGTGCTCCATGGCCATAAACAGGGTATTGAGGACAATGCAGATGGTGATGGCCAAGTCCACAAAAGGGTCCATAACGATCAAGTTCACAATCTCTTTCAGTTTTATCCAGTAGGGGTGACACTCCCAGATGAGGAAAGTATTGGCAAATTTATACCAGCATGGCGGGCACTTTCTCTGAGACTCTTCCAGCTCTGCAGTGAGTAAAGAACAAACACAGGGAGAAAACAAAGGGGGCTGCTACTAATCCTCTGCTGGGTCATTATCACTGCTATTCACCACAAGAAGAACAGTGGTTTGAGTGCTGTCTGTCCTGAGTGTGTAGTTGCTGCCCCCCACCCCATTTTCTTTCTCATGAAAGGAAAGAGGAGGCAGGGGCAGTCCCAGGTCACTTCCCTGTTAACAACTATCTGGTTATAAACTAGGGTTTGATCTGTCCGTTTTGGGAGCACAGCATCATGGTTAGGAGCTTGGCCTCTGGAGTCTGACTCCCTGGTCCAACTGGCTTCAACACTCACGACTGTGTGATCTCAGGCAAGTTACTGATTCCTCTATGCTTCTGTTGCCTCATCTGAAATGACACTTCCTTTACAGGCTATAGGACTAAACGAGTCCTATAATCCTCATCCACTGACTAAGGAGTAAGCGAGTGGGTGCACACAAAGCAGCCAGCACAGGGCCCGGCACATGGCGAGTCCTCGATAGATGGCGGGTTTTATATTATATGTCATATCACTAGATCATTACCAGAGAAGCAGTCAAAAGCACAGACCCTGAAGCCAGATGCACCTGGGTGCTCAGCCACTGCTCAGTGGGGGAACCTGAGTACAGTACTTCAATCTGCTGGAAGAATGAAATGGGCTACGATAGAAAGCGCCTCGGAGCGCCTTGGCCTACAGTAAGTGCTACAGAAGCGTTCACTCCTCCCGTTCTCTGTGTGGCAGAGGCAGCGCGGGTGGCCGGCAACCCGGTGCAGGCTGTTCCTTCCGGTCCCAAAGAAGTACAAGTCGTGAGTTCACCATTCACCACTGAGGTGGGCACAGGAGTCCCTCTCTTTCCTCCTCTTTCTCATTCCCTCCCCCTTTCCCTTCTCCATTTTCGTCCTCCCTCCCCTCTTCCCTTCCTTATTTTCTCTCTTCTTTCCTTTTTCTTATCTTCTGTCTTTCAGTCTGGCTCTCTTGCTTTAAAAAAAAACCAGACTGGTTAGTTTCCAACAAGATCTTATGTGATCCCCAATATAAAAAACTGCTCTAGTTGATGCAGGAAGAGGAGCCCAGTCTGACAGACTTCCTCCTTCCCTGAGGCACGTCCCTAGAATCCTGGACATAGACTGAATATCATGGACCATGGTGATCTCTAAGGTCGTTCATGAAACAAAGATGAAAAAGGACCATTAGACACTAAAGGAAGAGAGCCATTCAGCTGGCAGCCACAACAATCCAGGCATTAGGCCGTAGGTAACAAAGCCCTCCTCAAATACAGTATGACTTATAATAGCTTGGATTAGAAAAGTCCAAGGACCCTGATCTCCCAGGATGTTCTTTAAGAGATGTAGCTTTGAAAACCTGTCAGCATGATAACCCTTAGAAGCAAGGTCTTCGTTCCATAGGGTTGGATATCTATTCCACACCCCAACCCAATTCTGCTGACAAAATCAAATCATTCAGGGAATGAGAAAAAGTTTCCCAATGTTTCACCAAGAACAAGATGGCTGCCTTAAATTAGTCTACTTTCCCTTTTTCCAACCAGCTGGATGGTGCCCATGGTGATGGCTTTATTTTAGATGGGGTGCTTTGGTTGGGTTTTTGATTGGCTCCCTGGTTGCTAAGAAAATGGTTGCCTTGGTTTTTCAGATTTAAGGGCCACAGTAAGCACCACGTGGGAGTCTGCGTGGGAAAGGAAGTCTGTGAAGAAAATTTGCTTTGGCTTCTTCCTCATAGAACTCCCTCCCTTCCCAAGGTAAATTTAGTTTTCTAACCAAAAAAAGAAAATGAAAAGGTTCTCTTATTTCCATAAATTCTTACAGTACATATTTGGAAATTTGGTTCCGTTCCTTTTTTTAATCTCCTCCCTTCTCCAAATGTCTGTTCACTGGCACGTGGAGGTTAAAGCAGCAACTGTTCACGTCTCTGACAGTAGACACAATTGCAGTGTTGTACAGTGCTCTGGGCTCCAAGTCTCTGCCAGACACTGAAGAAGGGTTTCCCCACCCTATGGGGGCATCAAGAAGATTCCTACAGGGATACTAGGGATCTTATCCACATTTTCTCAGGTAAGATCTCAGGATAATCTTTTCTGTTCCACAAACGGTAAGACAATGTAGAGCTTTAGGAGCTAGAAAAGATCAGTTAGGTGAAAACAGAGGTTTATAAAGTGACTCACAACTTGACAAACTGTTACTGGTCCCACATGCCTGAAGCGGCTAAGAATTTGGTCTGGGGGAATGGGTTAACATATCCAAAGAAATATCCAAAGGTTTGTGGGGTTCCCCTTACTTTGCTCCTGGACATTCTCAAGAGATTACTGTAGACTCAACCTCAGGGGTGCTGGGAGTTGTTTTCAGAGAGGGCCTCACAATTCCAAGATGGTGGTGTTAGTAGACCGTGAGGGTTCTGAGGGCAGGACTTCTCTCAATTCAATTCAACAACTTTGAAACACCTACAGTGTGTGAGGCCCTGGGAATACGCTGATGAATAAGAGTCCCCACCCTCACAGAGCCTGCAGCCACACCACGAAAGACAGATAGCAGGTAAGTAATGATGCTGACTGACACCTGGGGCTGGTCAGTCGAACACAAGAGTGAATCAACAAATCATGGCAGCCAATGGCTATGGCCAGTTGTCTTTACGAGGCAGTTTTTGAACCTGTTTTACCTGAGAACCAATAATGCCAAGTACCACCATCACTTCTTCATTCTTACTTCACCAACTCCCTCCCCTTCTCCCACAGCTTCACTGCTCAGAGAAGTGAGACTATAGTAGTCTGCTTACACCCTACCCCCAGTCCTCTGAAATATCCCCAAGCTGATGGCTCTGCTGACTAAATTCTGCTGAGTTTCCTGGATCCGGGTGAGCATGTCTGCAATGGGATTGGGGGACACACAGCAGGCAAGATTTTCTCCTTATTTACACGCTTCTGGAATTCTCCACTGTGCTCTCTAAGATAATCAGGTAGGTAGAAGCCTGCTTCTTTGGTTTGGTAATCCAAAGATTAAAACAACGTCAGAGTTTCCTAACTGAAGTCTGAGAAGCAGGAACAATTATTCATTCAATGCTGGCTTTTCATGTTGTAGCAATCATTGAATACAGAGGGACCAGCAGTTAAATAGGAATGGATCTTTCTTAATGTCCTTTAATTCCCTCTGACATTATTCAGCTCCAGCCATTCATTGTTCTTTGCTTACAGCAGTTCTGTCTCATCAGCTTTAACAAAGGGAGTCGAATACTAGGGGAGGCAATAGGGGAATGTCTGAGCAGTGAAAGGCTATGTGAACATTGGGACTTCAAAAAGGGAGAAAGAACTGGAATGGCTTCCCACTCAGGAACACAAGTATGACTGTCTCTCTCTCCCCTGAGCTATCCGTATATCTATTTTTTATTATGTATGTGCTGGAGGGTGGAGGGTAGAGAATGAGTAGGGTAGAACAGGAAGAAAAAGAAGAGCACGGGGAGAAGAGGAAGAAAAGGGAGAAGAAAAAGACCAAGCTACCGCTCCAGTGGTTTCTACCCAACTCAGTAGAGGAATAGAAGCACCAAGGCCTCCAAAATGAAGCCTGCAGCACAGAAGCCCCACCGTTCCAAGCACGGCAAGGGTCAGTCTAACAAACATTTTGGGCGCATTTACTTTTACTAGACCCTGTGCTGGGCTGCTGCAGTAGTCAACTGAATAACTGTTGGACTGCATTAATAGTTCTCCCATTCTGATGTCTTTGCCATCATAAAATATGCCTGTTGGAGGTGGTTCATTTGTCTTTCTCATGTCCACAGATATCCAGAGAAATCCTGTCCTTGTCTCCAAGTAAAGAATAAAATTAGCCAAGGTTCTTAAGCTAGTGTTTCTTAGCTTGGAATTCTTTTTTTTTTTTTTTTTTAAAGATTCTATTTATTTATTTGACAGAGAGACACAGTGAGAGAGGGAACCCAAGCAGGGGGAGTGGGAGAGGGAGAAGCAGGCTTCCTGCTGAGCAGGGAGCCCGATGCGGGGCTTGATCCCAGGACCCTGAGTGAGATCATGACCTGAGCCAAAGGCAGACGCATAACGACTGAGCCACCCAGGCGCCCCCTTAGCTTGGAATTCTTATGCTCTGCAGTTATTTGCCTGTGATCTCAAAGTATAAACCACAAAGTTTAAAGATATTTTCTCAGATGATGACCTCGATGAGAATTAAAGGAAAACAGGAATAAATGTTTAGGCAGCTGAAAACAGTTAACTCAATATTCTTTTTACGTGATACATTCTTAAGATTAGTCTATGTACAGTCTAACACCTTGCTCACATGTGGGAATGTAAATAATCTAGGGGAGTTCCCTTCTGGGGATTCTCCCTTTATCACAGATGCCCCTGCCGAATGAATGAACACACACTCTCTCTCATTCCCTTTCTCTCAGAGTAGAAGTGGTATTGGGCTCAAATGACTCAAAAAATAACTTGTCGCAAGGACACCAGGATAGTTTTGAATCTCCTTATTTCAGGAACTCTGGTTATTGTTGGGTTAGCCTGGGGGTCTGAACTCTGAAGAACAGCAATCTGAGGCCTTGAGAATATTCTGGATCTATAGTGGGACAGCTCACCTAAATCAACGTGAATCAAAGCAAGAAGATTCATGCAGAATGAATCAGAATCTCGTGAGAGAAAATGCCGTCAGTGAATCTACCTCCAGAGAAAGCAAGAGGAGCCTGGAATACAGACCACAGTTGGACGGAGAGCTGATACTTCCTAGGGGACTGTGGTGTCATGGAAAATCCTGATATTCCTCAGCATGCCAGGCTGTGTCGTGGCAGAGCCACCCAATACCAAGTACAAGCACTGACAGCAACATTACTGCAGATACACTATGATTCAACAGTGCCTGTTCTCTCCCTGTGGCACAGAGAGCTGGAATAAGAGGGGTTTCGGCTTACCTATTCACACATCAAATATATTTATGGATACGTGGGGGTGTTTGATGAGAGGCAGAATTAGGTGCAATCAAAATGCACAGTACATTAGTCCTTCAGGGAAAACCAAGAGGGTTGTAGGTAGCTAACAAGGAAAAGAGGAAGGTATGTTTTGAGGCAGAGGGCACGGAGGGGATTCCATCGTTTCATATTTTCACAGTTCTTCAGTCTACAGCCTTTATGCCTCGCCTCACCCCACTGGCTCCTCATGACCATTACGGTCTTGAGATCTTCTAGCTCACTCCTGACTGTCATTCCTTCATTCTTCTTACCTACCTGTGTACGATGCTGGCAGCAGCTCTGAAGTCCTTATTTGATTCTCTGCATGCAGATCTGGGATGCTGGTTTCTACAACCAGTAGACTCTATTCCTAAAGTTCAGAGTCAATTTTTGCAAAACTCAGGCCAATGAACAGGGATTATATTTATCATGCGCACTACATATTGATATCTTGGTGGCTTGGACTGACATCAAGGGCACATACCTTCAACTAGTGTATTTGTAACAACACTCAATATACTGTTGATTCTGTCCTTCCGCCCATAGGAGGCCAGTTGGTCCATGGAAACTAAGAGAGATCCAGGGCCTTTCTTCTTAATTTCCACCTCAGTTGTAGCCTGAAAAAAATGGCAAATCAGGTGAGTAAAGTCTTACAAACATTACAGCTGGGCCTTACTGGACAGAGAGTCCAGAGTATGAGCAGAAACAGATGCTCTTCATGACATCTTTTAACTTTGACCCTACAATCCTATCCACCTCAAGAAGTAGAAGGAAACATGACCACGCATCATCCTAGCTCTATAGATGATAAGATCAGGTAAGTTTGTACAAATCTACAATGAACCAAAGAATCTGGCTGGGACCCAAACACCTCATCTGGTCAATTCCTAGCATGCAGACCAGATCTCCAGGGGCAATGACATCTGAAGCAGAACCTGAGTTTTCCTGTCTCAGTCTTGTATCCACAGCATCTGGCTAGAATTGGACCACACAATAAAATAAGTCGAATTCACCTCTATTCGACATTTCCTTAAGGACCAAGTCCCTGATCACACTGAGTACTGTAGACATTGTTTCCTCCGTGGGAAGGAGGCACCATCACTCTCTCAAACTGTCACCTCCAAATGTCAAACCTGGGCCTAACTGAACATTAGCAAGTTGAAGTTCTACCCTAATTCTCCTCCAAGCCACTCCAAGTGTGCTAAGGGTTTCACTATTTTAATTACATATATAGCACTGTTTATTTCGCCCTTATAAAATTTTACTTTATAAGTTAACCTGCAATATTCAAATTCCCAAACAAAAAGGGCAGAAAACACCATCAGCCTGTTACACAAAGTATTTGTTACATGCTCCGCTGTGGGCAGTACTGGTACGGGAGGTTACAGCACAGTGTTTCTTACTGTCCCTTGCTTGTGCTCTTTGTGACAACCTGAATGTACTACATTAGATCAGCCTCCATGCAGTGGCTTAAAAGCTAGCTTTCTAGTAACCATGCCAACCACTCTAACAGGTCATCGTGTAATGTCGGCTGTCCCTTCCATTGTGAAGGTAAGAGGCAGAGACAGTCACCATCTCTCAGAGGACAGGGGAGATACATGTTTGTAAGAAGCTACAGAAGTATATCTGATCAGTACCAGAATGATCCTAGCTGTTTTGAAAAGAAAATAATTGTTTCTAGAGAGCTACATCAGAAAGCCTTTCTGCCCTTAGATATGATTAGATTTTAAGAACTGTAGAGAAGAAAGTTTCTGGCAGATTATAATTTATCTCATTACAGCATTTCATCAAACTGTTTCACTGATTCAGACATTTGGTTTACCTTAGGGTTTTGTTTTGTTTGGCAGAGCAACAGAAGAAATGGAAAAGAAAAAGAACTGATTTCCTTGGGAATTCCTGGCTGCATTATTATACAAACACCTGTAAATGTAACAACGATGTGTTGACCAGTACCTCAGGTCATAATAAGATGTATTTCTTTGATAGGCCAATTTTGCTGCAGTTGCCAACGTGATATTCAAGACACCTAATAAATCAGATTAGACTACTCTATTTTAAAAATGACAGTCATCTAAAAAGGAATCCAGAAAGGCCCATACAGTAGACACTCTTGTTTCTGGCATTTACTCATTCTAGAATTTTACTGAGCTGCCCTCTGCAGATCTACAGTACATGGTAGATAATTTTCATAATGCTGACTCCAAGGTACTGTAAGATCTGATGGACTGGCTGATTCATCAAGAAAGGATGAAACTGCATTTAAAACTGCTTTGGTTCTAAGTATATCTTATTGTTTTCTGGACTTGCTGGATATAACAAGATATAAATTCTTCAGACTTTAATAACATTAACCTTAAACAAAGTTAATAAAAATGCTATCTAAAGGACCTAGTCAAATCATTAGATTATTATTTAGTGGTATCTATTTGAAAGCTAAAATAATTTCTAGCTTGGATTAAAAAAATCCACCTAAAGTTTATCCCCAAGCTTAATATTAAGATGGAACAATTATTATTTATATCTTTCTATGTAAGATGAAAATGAACTGTAGCAGGGATATGGGGAGACAACTTCTATAATGTTAAAATTTGTTCCAGAGTAAGGCATGTTATAGAACATATCTTCAGTTTCAGAAAAGAAATAAATGAAAGAAGACACTAAGAAAAAAAAATTTCAAAGACCATACTTGGGGAACTTCAGAGGGCAAAAAAAGAAAGTCATTATGTCACCTTTTTACACAGGAAGAACATTTACCACAGATCCAAATAACAGGTTCCATTGAGAAGTCTTATGGTAATCATAAGATATTCAGAAAAGTCCCCTTAAATTGGTAAAAACCCATGGATCAAAGATAAAATCACAAAGAAAATTAGAAAATACTTTGAGGATAAAGGAAACAATACATTAAGATTTATGGGATGCAGGGGCTCTTGGGTGGCTCAGTCATTAAGTGTCTGCCTTCAGCTCAGGTCATGATCCCAGGGTCCTGGGATGGAGCCCCACACTGGGCTCCCTGCTGGGTGGGGAGTCTGCTTCTCCCTCTCCCCCTCCCACTCCCCCTGCTTGTGTTCCTTCTCTCTCTGTCAAATAAATAAATAAATAAATAAATAAATAAATAAATAAATAAAATCTTAAAAAAAAAAAAACAAATGACCTTTACGGAGTCTTTAAAAAAAAAAAGATTTATGGGATGCAGCTAACACATGGTTTGAGAAAATTTTACAGTGCTAAAGGCTTGCATTAGAATATAAAAAAGATATAAAATCAAGGCTCTAAACTTTCACCTTGAGAAATTAGAAAAAGATCAAATTAAACTGTGGGTAAATAGATGAAAGGAAATAATAAAAATAAGAATGGAGATTAATGAATTAGTAAGTGGACAAACAACAGACAATCAAAAAGGGCAAATGTTTTTTTAAGAACAGATTACTAAAATTGATAATTCCCTAGCAAGACTGATCAAGAAAAAAAGAAAACACAAATGGTAATTTTCAGGAAAAGGAATGGGAACATTACTACAAATCCTATAGGCATTATTAGGATAATAAGAATATACCGTAATTGTAAGTTGAACCATTGTAAGATGGAAACTTTCTATACAATATTTATATTAGTCAGAGTATGATAAGCTACAGTATGATAATAAGTGAACCCAAAAATCTAAGTGGTCTAACCTAAAAAAAAAAAAGAATATATTGTAAACAACTTCATGTCATTTCACCTTGTATGAAATGGACAAACTTACCAAAACACAACTTATCAAAACTGACAGAAGAAATAGAAAATCTAAATAGCCACATTAGAAGCTGTAATTTAAAAAAACCTTACAATAAATAGAAGTCTAGGTCCAGATGGCTCTACCAGTGAATTCTATCAAAATTTACATAAAAAATAATACTAATACCAATACTAATAACAATTCCTTCAGAAAATAGAGGATAAGGGTATACTTCTCAACCTGTTTTATAAAGTTAACATAACCTGATACTAAACTTGCCGAAAACACCACAAGAAAAACACCACAAGTAAAGAAAATGAGAGACCAATATCCCTCATGAACAATGATGTGAAATTCTTAACAAGACAAGCAAATATATACAAAGATAACACATCACGACCAACAGGGTTTATATTAGGAAGGCTAGTTTCACATTAGGAAAAAAGTCAATGTTGTTCATCACTTTAAAAGAATAAAGGAGAAAAACCATCTGATTATCTCACAGATGCAGAAAAAGAACATTTAATAAAATTCAACATCTCTGCATAATAAAATTTCTTAGCGAGCCAGGAATAGAATGTAGCAGCTTCAACTTGATAAAGAATATCTATGAAAATCTACCGCTAACATTATACTTCTTGATGAAACATTAAATTCTCTTCCTCTAATAATGGAAACAAGGAAGAATGTCTGCTTTTATCATTTCTATGCAATTTTGTATCTCAAGTCCTAGCTAGTGCAATAAAGCAAGAAAAATAAGTAAAAGGCATAAAGGTGCAGTTGCCGTTTTTCACAGAAAGTATTATTGTGCATGTAGAAAACCCTATGGAATTTACAAAAAAAAAAAAAGATCTAATAGAACCAATATGTTAATTTATCAAGGTGATGAGATACAAGGTCATACACAAAAATTAACTGTATTTCTATGTTGTGGCAACAAAAATGAGAAGACTTTAATAAATGAGAATTATACCACATTCACAGATTGAAAGACTCAAGGACATCCATTATTTCCAGCAATCACTATAAGAATTCTAGGCTTTTCTGAAGAAACTGACAGAAAATGATTCTAAAATACATAAGGACACGCAAAGGATCTAGAATAGGAAAATAATCTTTTAAAAAAGAGCTGAATAGCAAATTAATCTCTTAAGAGATTATTTAATAATCTTTAAAATATTTTTTGTTTGGAGGGCTTATGCTATCTCATTTCAAGACTATAAAGTCACAGTAATTAGACAAATGTAGTATTGGTATAAGCACAGACAAACAGACCAAGGGGACAGAACAGTATCTAGAAACAGACCCACACATGTACATCAACTGATTTTTGACCTAGGTGCCAAGTCAATTCAGTGGAGAAAGTAAAGTCTTTTTAACAAATGGTACTGAAAAACTAGATATTCATCCAAGTCAACTCCCATCTAATTTCACACACACAAATTGAGCCACATCAGAGACCTGAATATAAAACCCAGAACTGTAAAATTTACAGAAGGAAAATAACTTCACAATTTTGGGTAATGGCAAAGATTACTTGGACAGGATGCAAAAAACAACATAAAAGGAAAAAACTGGTACATCGGATTTCTTCAAAATTAAAAATTTATGTATCTGATAAAGGACTTGTATCCATAACATATAAAAAACAAATCAATAATGGGTAAAAGTTTTAAAAATAAGCAGCTAATAAAAGATCTGTGAGAAGCCAATAAGCACATGAAAAGATGCTCATCATCATTAATCAGCAGGGAAATGCAAATTAAAAGCAGGTAAGATAGAGTTTATGACTACTAACATGCTAAAATCAAAGACTAACATCACCAAATGTTGGCTAGGATGTGGAGCAATTGGAACTCTAATACACTGTTGGTAGGAGCATTAAAAAAATGGTATAAC